GTCTATAGACGCCCCCTAAACATAATTAGGGGACCCAAAAAGACAAGACAAATAACAAAATGGATGCATACTTGTGATGTTTACACCTGCCTGAATCAGAGGCTCCTTCAATAGAAGGGAAAAACACACTCTGCTGTGGGAGTAAAAAGTTGCCTTTAGCATTGGAAATTTGCTGGGACCTGAAAAACATGGTATAGTTAACAGGAAAAAATATTAATAAGTATAGGTATAACTTTCCCAAATCCTGACACTTTAGGTAAGTCCAGAGAAGCCCTATGCCACCCACCATTCTAATGTCTTCTAGTCCAGACTAGTGTAAATGCAAAAACAAAACAAAAAACAGACTACAAAATCAGTGAAGAAAGCTCTGAACTTCCATACTTGCAATTGCATCCTTCCTCTTGTTGCCTGTCTTGTCTTGTAATCCTGTGCTGTTACTATTCTTGCAGAAACTTTATCCAGAAATGTCCTGTGAACAGTTTGGATACCTGTCCGAACATATCTCCCTCTATCTATGATCCACCTCGGAGTTTACGATCGTCAGATGAGGCCCTGCTCTCGATCCTGCCACCCTCGCAAGTGTGGTTGGTGAGTGTCCTTCTTGGTGGTGTCCCTCCCACCTATGGAACACACTCACCAGCAAAATTAGGGCAACTCTCTCATTCCTCTCCTTTAGAAAAAAGGTCAAAACATGGCTCTGGGACCAAGCATTTGGGCAGCTGACCCAAGCACTAACAGCAATTGACCGATGAGAATCAACCATGAATAGACATTGAACTTGAACTCTGGCCTTTGATTTGGATTTGTGATTTAGGCCTGGTGCTGTTTTAATGTTTCATTTTTAACGTTTAATTTTAAATATTTTAATGTATATTTCTAATCCTGTTGTCCACCTAATTGTCAATTTGTTTTGTAATGTGATTGATGTTATTGTTGGCATCAAATGGCTGCCATTTGTAAGCTCACCCTGAGTCCCCCCTCGGGGGTCAAGGAGGACGAGGTAGAAATGTTTGAAATAAATCAATAATAAATAAATAAGGAAGAAATTGACTGCAGGGAGGGGATGTATTGCCAATATTAACATAGTGAGGCCTTCAGCACTTACCAAATTAATTTGGACTAAACTGCTATGGAGATGTACCAGGAGCCATCACTGAAGCCTTTTTAGTATCCAGATGGCCAGCTAGGATGAAGGTACATTTGGCCCACCTACACTCTCCTACGCTCCTACACTCACTACCTTGCTATGCATTTGGTTGGAACAAAGGACCCTCCCTTGGAGAGTAAGGTGGGTCTTTGTTTTCCTTCCATCGGTGAGTGAAAGCCTCCTTGTTCCAACAGGCTTTTGGGAATTTGCTGCAATGTTGATTAATGAATATCAACATGATTTTAATGTTATAGATTTTATAAAGATAATTTTATGTTTTAAATAATGTATTTTGGGGTGTTTTAATCTGTATTTGTTTCATTTTTGTTAGCCACCTTGAGCTGCAGTATTGGGAGAAAAACAGGATATAAATAAATACTGTAGTAGTAGTAGTAGTAGTAGTAATTACGCCAGGGAGGGTTTGCTTGTGCATGTTCTCTGTAGACAACAGGTGGGATTGTGCACAATATGTTTATTTTCTGAGGAGGTGTGTCTGTGAGAAAGAGCAACAGACTGAATAAGGTGGCAGAATCCTAGTGATTGAGGTGTGTATAGATTTCTTCCAGGAGTAAATAGATTTCTGCTTTAGGAATGGGTGCGCGAGTGTAAGGTAGGGGATTTCTGGCTGGAATGAGTCAGTCTCACAGCCACCTGATTCCTGTTCATGACTATCCGGACACTTCCTTCTATTTCGTTCATTGTGCAAATGGGTGAGTAGAGGTAAGTGAATTTCTACCTAGGGTGAGTCAATTCCACCCCCTCTGTGCCAAGTCCACTGTTTCCTGCTCAAGACCATCAGGAGACATAATTCAGTTTCCTTCACTGCACAATGTTGGTTGTTTGTGAAAAATATTAATGTGGCCTCAAAGGAGTGCTTGTGGATTATCATCACCATCATTACGTGCAAAAAGATGGTCTCCCCCTCAGCCAGCTAGTCCATCTCTCAGCAGACATGTGTAAATGAGAGTATGATAAATTCATATTTGCTAGCCCTCTTTACATTTATATTTTCCAGGATATGTGAAGATTTTTATGCTGCTGTCTTGTTGCACTTTGCATTTTATTGGGTGTTTATTCATTTATCAAGCACCTATGCCACCACTCCTAGAACAGCTAACATATCCATGGTGGAGAAAGGCTGTTTTGAAATCTGCTCTAGGATCTCAACACTTTAAGCTAGCCTTTGAAGATGGTAAATACTTACTAATAAGACCTTGAGTCTCAGAAATGTAATTTGCTGGGTCAAACAGACAGTGCCCACACTTTGGATTTAGTGTGCACAGTACAAAAGAAGTGGAGAGACTCGCAGCAATTGCTTGAGCTTCACTTCTGGTTGCTTCCCACTGTTTCTGAAACTCTGTGCAATATCAAAGGAACCACACAGGGGAGCGGCAGGATATTGTCTCTGATGCTGTGCTTCAGCATTTGTTCATTCTGGCGGGCCGCCATGGCTAATTAACTTAATATTAGAAGTCATTTATCAACTAAGATTAAGATTAAAGTAACTTTCATTGTGCTAGATTATATGAACAATCTAATCATTAAAAATGTTACAGTCCAAATAAAGGCCTCTGCAAAAGGCATAAATGGGGAGCTTGAAGTTGCTCAACACAAAAGTTGCCTGGGATTCAACTAACCACATCTGAGAAACTGATTATCAAGAAATCTTATTTAACTGCTACCTTTGAGTACAACTTGGAGAATAAAATCACCATAATTTCCACTATTCCTTTCAATTAGAAACTTTGGGGAAACTTCAGCTAACAATGTTTTCATTTATCTTCAGTCAATATGACATTAGAAACTGTTTCAAGCCTTTTGTGTCAAGTTTTTTGTGTGCAAGAAGAAGAAACAATGATAAACACAAAGTAGTACCTTACAATGTATAGGCTATGGAATTCTTCTGCAGTCGGTTCCATATATCTATGCACAACATCCACAGAATTTTACATTTTACAGTTCCTTGAGAAGGGGACTATTCAGAAAGGGAAGAGTGTCTACACAAATGATTTTTAACAAATTCCTAGTACTTATCTATTAATTTAAAAATTAAGAATTTTGCTGTGTTGAAAAAAATTGCACCTAGAGTTTGGTAAAGTTATTTTTTAGGACAACAGTTCTCCATTTCCTGATTAGTAATTAATATTTATTACGTATTTATTTATTATAATTGATTATTATATTCATTGACTGGAAGGATTGATTGGAAGGAAGCCTTCAGTAATATTTATTATGTATTTGTTTATTATCATTGATTATTATATTCATTGATAGGAAGGAGAGATTGGAAGGAGGCCTTCGGTAAAGGGCATTCATTGACTTGTTCAATCCAAACTTTTATTACGGTCCAAAGACCCCAATTGGCTCAGCAGTAAAAGATGTTTAGTTTACATATTTGTATAGTTTAAATTGTGTGGTCATACTTTTAATGTGAGCTGTTTTGAGTCTTCTTTGGGAGAGATAGTGGGCATAAATAAACAACAGCAAGTTCCACTAGAACTTGTGCCACAAATAACATCTGCCTGCGACGAGAAACTGGTGAGATCACAAGCCTGAAAAACTTACAGAAAATGAACGTGTCAATTACTCTGGGACTCCTGAATTCAGACTGACAGAGTTTCAGAGCACAATACTCCTGACCTCACAATTGTGGAGGGAAACCAAATATGGATTGTTGATGTTGCAATCCCAGGTGACAGCAGAATTGACAAGAAGCAACTGGAAAAGCTGACACGATACGAGGATTTAAAGATAGAACTGCAAAGACTCTGGCACAAGCCAGTAAAGGTGGTCCCAGTGGTGATCAGCACACACTGGGTGCAGTGCTTACAGACTTTGACCTGCACTTAAAAACAATTGGTGCCGACAAAATTGCCATCTGTCAGCTGCAAAAGGCCACCCTACTTGGATCTGCACATATTATTCACCGATACATCACACAGTCTTAGACACTTGGGAAGTGTCTGATATGTGATCGAATACAAAAGCCAGCATAGCAATCTTGTTTGCTGTGTGCTAATCTTGTTATGTATCAAACAATAACAGTACTAGTGTGGTAACTGTCCATATAGTTAGGGGAAGCTTGGAGCTGTAATCCAAAAATGTCGCTTTCCAAATTCTAACAACATGTGGACCTAAATACATTTTCTTGAGTTAATTTTCTGAGTCTGCTTTAGCTAGAATTAGCAAGTCAGTTTAGGTTTTAGAAATGAAATTGTGGAAGTTCCTGCATGGCATGCACCTATGACTAGTATTTGAGTACATACTTGGAAGAAGCTTACTCCATAAGAATTCTCCAAGAGGGATCCCCTTAGTTCAATGTTGGAGTCACAAAAAATTGGCAACAGTCAAAGGTTTCTGCATGCTACCATTTGCACAAATCTGTTAGCAACAATGTGCAGTATTTACAGTGGACTCTGCAGAAAATGCATCAGCTGTATTCCACCTTGCAAATGCTGAAACAACAACATTATAACAATATATAAAACAGGTGTCAAAACCAACAACTAAAAATAAATTCAGTTTATCATCAGGGTGGGCAGACTGGTGCAACAATAATTTAAAGGCTGTTAGGAATCGTGGGAGTTGAAGTCCAAAAACACCTGGAGGGCCAAAGTTTGCCCATGCCTGGGATATTCCATCTAAAACATAACTAAATGCTGTGTTTAGACTTGGATCTTATCTCCAAAGCATGTTATTATGCTTGTATTTGAAAATTAGGGCGGGGAGGGGGTCTGAAATCGCCAACACTTCTGATCCCAAGCCTTAGGGGTGAGAGATGCTCAGCCTGTAGCCATGTAAACAAACCCGAGGGGGCGCTTCCAAGGGGCCCCTCCCCTCTGCCTTGACTTACCCATCAGGGAGCCGATGAAGATGAGCACTTGCACCACGACGGCGAAATGCCGGTAGGTCTGCTCTTCCCGGCCTCCCTGGTCCCCCCAGTGGCCCCGCCGCGCTGCCTCCGACGTGTTCAAGGCCGGGGCGGCGAGGGCCTGGAAGGGCCCCCTCTGGCTCTCGTTGGCAGAGGGCGCCCAGCTCCCATTGTAGCCCATCGCTCTGCCCTTCTGGCCCTCAGCAGCCCCTCCGCCGGGATCCCAGGCTCTCGGTCTTGCAAAGCGCCCGGCTGGATCCGTCTCCCAAGGCAGGGCAACGAAAAGACCCCCTTGCCATGTCTTCTCAGTCTCAAACCTTTGTCTTCAGGTCAGAACCGGGGAAAGAAGGAGGGGGAGTTGGCTGCCCCTCTCTCTCGCCTGTTGCCCCATATTTCTGGCCGGAATTCAAGACACAAGCCGAAGAAATGAAGCAGGGGTGCAAGCTATGCCGCTGCCGCCCTCTTCCAAAGCCAACCCTGGCAGAGGAGGCTGGGCAGCCCCTTGGACTTGGAGCGTTCCCTTCCCTTGCCAGGTCTTTGCCTACATCCTCTGCCCTGCTGACATCCTCTCCCCCACAAGATGCTCTCCTTGCTTTCTCGCCTTGTTAGAAATCTACAGAGAGCGTTGCTCTGTCGCTTTTCCTCCCAGTCTCACCTGGTTTGGGCTGCCGGGATGGCTTGGGCTTGGGAGCCTGAACCATCTCGTGCGCTCTCCCTCTCTATTTGCGCTTCCAAATCAGACCCGCAACTCCTCCCCTAGGGCTGTCTGTCTGCACTGACAGCTGCCTCCTGCTTCTCAGTTCCAGCTGCCCATTTGCGGGCTCGGTGTCGTTTCAGAGAGAAGCAGAAAAGAAGATCACATGACCATCAGTGGTGGGCTTTGATATTTTTTTGTTTGGGAGCAGCCATCTTTGCCTTTTTGGAGCTGTCACTTCCACCTCTGGATCAAAACATCCGTCTTTGAAACTGTGCTTGCTATAAAAGGGAGGAAGATAATAATAATAATAATAATAATAATAATAATAATAATAATAATAATAATACAGTTAACAAAGTGATCTTGTTTGCTGTGGACTCATCTTGTTGTGTTTCAAATAATAATGTCAGTAAAGGTGGTCCCAGAAGTGATCTGCATACTGGGTGCAGTGCCTAAAGACCTTGGCCTGCACTTAAACACAATCGGCACTGACAAAATTGTCGTGATGAAGATTAATGCAGACACTCAACGATGCTGAAGCTTTTTGCCTTTGCCCAAGGAACAAGCTCAGTCGTTGTCTTTTGCAGATTTTATAAAAGAACATATATACAGAATCCAGATGTTCTCTTTGAGACACAAGCCTTGTGTAACTCCAAACTCCTTCTAGCAAACTCCTCCAACTCCTCCAAGCACATCTCTTCAACAATCCATCTCCAGCGACCACCTCCAACAACCTACTTCCAACAACCTACTCCAATGACCCACCTCCAACAACCTACTCCAGCGGCCCACTCCCAACAACCCACATAAAGGAGTTGTACGTTGGTTCCTTTATTCTCCCTGCAGCTGCCCCACCCTGGCTGCAACCACACAATGCCAGCCAGGTGGCTTGGCTCATTCCCTGCTGCATTGATCCATACATCACTTACCACTTGTTATTTCAGAAATGAACACTAACAAAATTTACCACCTGTCAACTGCTACTAGAATCTGTATGCATTATTCACCAATATGTCACACAGTCCTAGACATTTGGGAAGTGTCTGACGTGTAATCCAACACAATAGCCAGCAGTGACCTTGTTTGCTGTGGACTCATCTTGTTGTGTTTCAAATAATGATAATAATAATCACAATGCAGAGCAGAAGAGAAAACTGGCAAAAGAAGGCTCTTCATGGACAGTTCCTGGGGAAAAAATGAGAGCCAAATTGACAAAGAAAAAACATGGCTGTAGCTCACAAATGGAACTTTGAAAAAGGAAATGGAGGGCCGGATTCTGGCAGCCCAAGAACAAGCTATTAGAACAAATGCCATCAAAGCCAGAATTGAAAAATTGATGACAGATCCAAATGTAGACTCTTCAAGGAAGCAGATGAAACGATAGATCACATCCTCAGCTGCTGCAAGAAGTTCACACAGACAGGCTACAAGCAGAGGCATAACACCATTGCTCAGATGATTCATTGGAACTTGTGCCACAACATCTGCCTGCGGCAAAGAACTGGTGGGATCACAAGCCGGAAAAAGTTACAGAAAATGAACACATGAAACTACTCTGGGACTTCTGAATTCAGACAGAGTTTTGGAGCAGAATACTCCTGACCTCACAATCATATTAAAAAACAAAGTATGGATTGTCGATGTTGCAATCCCAGGTGACAGCAGGATTGAAGAGAAACAACTGGAAAAGCTGACACGATTGAACTGCAAAGACTCTGGCACAAGGTAGTCAAGGTGTTCCCAGTGGTGATCGGCACACAGGATGCAGTGCCTGAAGACCTTGGCCTGCACTTAAACACAATCAGCGCTGACAAAATTACAACCCGTCAGCTGCAAAAGGCACGCATTATTCAGCATTATTGGGAAGTGTCTGACGTGTGATCCAATACAACAACCAGCATAGTGATCTTGTTTGCTCAGTACTAATCTTGTTGTGTTTCAAATAATGACTTTATTTTGATACCCCGCCTTCATCTCCCCAAAGGCACTCAGGGTGGCTTACATGGGGCCAAGCCCAAAAGAACAGTTGAAACATAACAGATTAAAACGCATATCAACAAAATAATAACAGAAACAATATAACAAATAAAACGCAACATTCTACAGTGTATAAAACAAACATCATACCAACAACCAATAGCAAGATTCAATGTCTCATCATGGGTGGGTGGACAGGTGCCACAAAAGCACAGTGGAACATCTTTGTCTTTAAGTCCTCGCAGAAGGTGGACAGGGAGGGTGCTAGCCTGATCTCCCTGGGGAGGGAGTTCCAGAACTGGGGGGCCATGACTGAGAAGGCCCTTTCTGTCATCCCCACCAGCCATGCCTGAGACAGAGGTGGAAGCGAGAGAAGAGCCTTCCCAGAAATGTGTGGGTTTGTAGGGGAAAACGCGGTCACAAATATAGGCAGGTCCCAAACTGTTTAGTGCTTGCAAGTAACCTACCAATATTATGAGCACAAACCATGCCTGTGATAAGGTGAAATAATGTTGGTAGTCCAACCTGAGTGTTATATGTGAATCTCCATATCCTGATTTTGCAAATAATTACAAGTCAACAAAATCAATTTTTTCAAGTTTGAATCTGGGGAGTAGGGTGAGCTCCTGCTGTTAGGCCCAGCTTCTGCCAACCTAGCATTTTGAAAGCGTGCAAATGTGAGTAGATCAATAGGTACCACTTCTGCAGGAAGGTAATGCTGCTCCGTGCAGTCATAATGGAGGTGTCTACAGACAATGCTGGCTCTTCGGCTTAGAAATGGAGATGAGCACCACCCCTCAGAGTCAGACACGACTAGACTTAAATGTCAGGGGAAACCTTTTCCTTACTGTAAAGTCAGCACATTTCATATCGTATTTGTGTAACACAAGCCAACAAGTATTTATCATCAGATATGATTTTAGGTCATTCTTTTTTTCCCTCTATCACACGTAGTTTTTGTGATGGGGCTAATCAAATAATTAATGTATTTACACACTGATATCAATTAGATTCTATTGCTATCAGTGTATAAATGCATTAATTATTTGATTAGCCTCATTGTAAAAACTATACATGATAGAGAAAAATTAAACACAGATCTGAATTCAGTGCAAAAAAAATGACCTAAAATTATATCTGATTAAAAATTCTTGTTGGCTTGTGTGATTTTTTGCAATCTAAGAGAGGATTTATTTATTTATCGTGTCAGAAATGAGTTGAGGGTACAGTGATAATGTATTGTAAAGCACAAACGAAATAAAAAACTTGGCATTATGCTAAATGTCCTTTGACCAGAAGCTGGCCACTTGGTGTGCCTCTAGTGTCACTGTGAGAAGGTTCTCTATTCTGCATGTAGCAGGGCTCAGACTGCATTGTATTAGATAGTCTGTGTTTAGCTCTTCTCCACACTCATGTGTCGTAGACTCTACTCATCTGGTATCAGCCACTGATTCAGGTTCTGTGTTTTAGCCTGCCACTTTTGGGCTCTCACTTGCTGAGGTGTTTTTGTGAGTATCTCTGTAGATCTTATATTTCTTGATTTAAGGGACTGGCTTGCTTGATGGTATCTGAACAGAGGACCAGCCGGAGGTGTCAATGCCTTGGTCTTTTCATTACAGGCTGCTACTTCCTAACGGATGTAGTGTGGTGCAATGTCCGCTAAACCAGTGATTCCCAACCTTTTTTAGGCCAGGGACCACTCTCCAACATTAGTACCAAAAGGGTTACGAATCTGTTTTTTTGGACAACTTTTGATTTTGGGGTGCTGATTCAGAAAATTGCATTAGACCACATCAGCTCTAGTTTCTGATACAGAACATATGCCATCCAGTAGCCGTCATCTGCTCGCCCACAGGAAGCCATATTTAATAAACCTCAACACTATAAGAGGGTTTAGCAGGACCAGTTGCTCTCATTGCAACGGTGTAGTAACAATGAGGTCGCAGACTATATTTTAGTTCTTGTGGATGACTGGTAGTCTACAGATCACAGGTTGGGAACCACTGAGCTACAGAGTATTATAAGAGAGGAGGAGATCAACTAACAGCTAGAAAATGGCTCTTATAGCTTTTTCATGTACTTGTTACATTCTGTAGTTGTTATATTCTTCTTACTTCTCTATGTGAACAGCAGCTAGAGAAAAATGCTGTGGTTTCCTTGTGTAATTGCCCTGAAGGCTTAAAATATTTTGGTATGTTTGTTTTATATTTTCAAATACACACAGAGAACATAGGAGAGGCAAACAAGAATTGCCACAGTAGTAATTGCTAGGAATTTATTGAACATACCTTCCAACATTTTGCAGATGAAAACCAGAACATGCGCAGCTGAGAAACACCAAAGTGTGGTCAACATGGCCAAATTTACTATACATAACCCTGGAAAGTCTGCCAGTCCATTTCGAGGCTGAATACAAAGTGCTGGTCATTATCTATAAAGCCCTAAATCAGGGGTCCTCAAACTTTTTCAAAATCTGGAATGGACCTTGGATTATGAGATTGGCTATGTTCTCTATGTTGATGGCGCGGATTTATTATTGTGTTTAGATTAATGTGTAATTTGGTTGTCGATTCATTGTATGTTTTTGTAGACTGTTTTTATATGTTGTACACCGCCGCGAGTCGCTCCAGGGCTGAGAGCGGCGGTTAACAAATGAAGTAAATAAATAAATACATAAATAAAAGAGGGCCAGGTCACAGTTCCTCAAACTGTTGGAGGGCCGGATTAGAATTTGAAAAAAAAGCATGAATGAATTTCTATGCACACTGCATATATCTTATTTGTAGTGCTAAAAACACTTAAAAACAATACAATAATGAATACGAATAACAATTTTAACAAATATAAACTTATTAGTATTTCAATGGGAAGTGTGGGCCTGCTTTTGGCTGATGAGATAGGATTGTTGTTGTGTGCTTTCAAGTTGTTTCTGACTTAGGTTTACCTTGAGCGAGGGCCGGGTAAATGAGCTTGGAGGGCTGTATCCGGCCCCCGGGCCTTAGTTTGAGGACCCCTGCCCTAAATGGTTCGTGTCCAGGCTATTTGTCTAACCACATCTCCCTATATAGGTCACCTTGGGGACTGCGGTCAATGGAGGAGACCCTCCTCTCAGTCCCACCCCTTTCACAAACGGGGTTGATGGGAATGAGAGAGGGGGCCTTCTCCGTAATTGCTCCCCATCTCTGGAACTCCTTTCCTAAAGAAATAAAAAGCCCCCCCCCCTCCTTCAGGAAACTTCTGAAAACACACTTTTGCACCTTAACATGTGGAGAGGAGGAGGACTAGAACAATTTAATTAGCACTTTATGGCTGCTGCAGTCTATTTTAAATCACAACTAATATCAGACATTGTTTACATTTTAACTGTTCGTCTAGGATATGTTTTTTGTGTAATTATGTTTTATTTGTGTAATTATGCTTTATTTAAGTATCTGTACATTTGACTACTTTAACTTTAATTCCGCTTTGGTAAGAAGTTTATTAATGTCTATTTCACATTTTTGAAATAGACATTTTTCACATTGAATTTTTTCCTTTTTATATGTATGTAAACCACCCTGAGTCCCCTCAGAGAGAGAGGGCGGTCTAGAAATGAATCATCATCATCATCATCATCATCATCATGATCAAGTATAACTGTCTTGTTGGTAGAGTCTTGATGGTGGATCCAGAAAAAACTGTGATGTCTTATTCCGGATCCACGTTGTTTTTCACATTGAGGACATAGATTTCCAGGTGGAAGGCAGTCATGACATGAGTTTGTTGAGGTGCTATCCTCTTTGCTTTTGTGTGAGCCTGCTGAGAAAAGCACCATTCTGCCCCACTCCTTTCCTCTTCCCATTGCTAAGTTAATACTCTAAATTTAGTTTTCAGCAAGTGACATTAGCTAAGGACAAAGGTGAGAAGTGGCAGGAGGAAATTAAAACTGGAACGTTTTCTGCCCTCCCACTGAAAAACTGCTAGAAGAGAGGTTTAGCCAAGAGTGTTCCTTCAAACTGGGAGAGTTGTAGATTGCAAGTGAAATGCTGTTCCCCTGGTTTCCAGCCAATATCAGCTTGACAGTTCTCAAATCCTGCCGTTTGTTTCCCAGTTCAAAATATAAATGTCATTTTGTTATTTTCCCCTTCCTCTTCTGAGCTGCAGGATCAGATGGGCATCTAATTCTACCAATTCAAACAATCTCCAGATATCAAGAGCCTATCTTGTCATTAGCTGCCAGTGATTACCGTAAATGTCCTGCCTGGGCTCATCTGTTGGGACCTCCAAATGAAAACAACCCAGGCACCACCCTCAAGAAGCAAGGAAGAAAAATAATTAGTAGTGACTTGTACTGATGAATCTAGAACAAGACTGGGGAATCTTTGGTTCTCCAAACATTTTTGCCTACAACTCCCACATTCCTCAATCCTGTGCAAAACTGTTTGAAGTGGTAAACCAAAACATCTTGGGGTACGTTAGCCTTCACAAAGTGCCATGACATCAAAGAGATAGACTTTTGCTATTGAGAAAGGAGGAAAATGTTAGCTCTCTAATCTAGTGAAATATGATGTTTCACATTCACATTTTTACAGGAATCAGATTTGTTTGTTTCTTTATTGCTACAATAAGGCTGTAATTACACCAATAGTAGCTTGGTGTAATTACAAATATAAACTATAGGACTTTAATTTAGCCTTTGATGGTAAAATATTTTTCCACATCAAGGCAAATTCCGCTGCATTAAGACGCTTTAGCTTCTTCCACTTTTGTTATGAGTTTAGCAGTGTAAATTGCTATAATTATGGCTACATTACAATATTAATATAAGAAAAATACTTGGTATTAGATATTTAAGACACTGATTTATTTAATTCAGCTCAGATTCAATTAAACACAGCTCTGTTTATTTAAAATTATTTACATACTATATATACATTGTTATAAACAAGGAAAGCCCCCAAAAGCTTTAAATGTACTCATATTAAAATAAAACTCAGCTACAGATGTTTCCCATTAATATTATAATTTAGATGTTTTGAAATTGTGAAAGCAACAGTGACAGCCACTAGGGTGTATGACAGAGTCCTGTGAATCCACGGTACATTATTCTTTTCATTTGAGATTTAATGCTTGGGTTGTATCCATGACAGTGTGCTTACAAATCAATTTATGCTAAGACAGGTATTTGATTTTCACAAATCCATCCTGACCATTTCTATTTCTCCCTCTCTAAAATACTGTTCCTGAAGGTGGAAGAACAGAGCTGGAAATGATCTGAAAGCCATCTGTCCATTTTTCCACCTCTCACTCTTTGTCAGGCTGTGCTAGAAAGGTATGTCGTGACCAGAAGGGACACCTCCAGTGCCCAAAGGTGTTTCCAGTCACTTTTAGATACAATTCTGGGGTAATCTTTGGTTGGTGCAAATATTTTTGATGAAGTATAGCATTTTATCTTAAAATCAAAATTAAAAGAATGTTGAAGGTGGGGGATGTTTAGCTGGGAGAAGGTAGAAAGGGAACACAAGAACCATGTTTCAAGATTCGAAAGGGTGTCCTATTGAGGAGGAGGAGAAGAAGGGGTGGGGGGAAACTGACTTTCTGCTGCTCTAGAGACCAGGGCACAAGGGTCTAATGGGTTCAAATGGCAGGGAAAGAGATCCGGAAGAGATTAGGAAGAACTTCCTGAGAGTAAGAGCCGCTGGAGAGTGGCATAGGTGGCCTGGGAGTGTGGTAGAGTCGCCTTCTCTGGAGCTTTTCTGCAGAGGCTGTCTATCAGAAGTGCTTTGATTGTGCCTTCCTGCATAGCAGGGGGTTGGACTGGATGCCCCCTAGGGGTCTCTTCCAGCACTAGGATTCTAGAATTCTATATAAGGAGTAGGCAATACGGGGTCTCATGGATACACTTTTTTTCTCTCCCATCCACCATCTCTTCCTGACCATGGCCAACCCTTTTGGGATCCAAATGTTTCCTATCTTTCCTGAAAGGGCCGAAGGGAAGGAAGAAGAGAGAGAGGGAAGGAGGGAGGAAAGAGGGAAGGAAGGGAGGAAGGGAAGGGCAGAAGGGAAGGAAGAAGAATGAGAGAGAAGGAGGGACAAAAGAGGGAAGGAAGGGTGAAGGGAAGGAAGGAGAAAGAGAAGGAAGAAGGGAGGAGACAGGGAAGGAAGCAAGTATGAAAGGGCAGAAGGAAGGAAAGAGGGAGGGAGGGAGGGAAGAAAGGAGAAAGAGAGGGAAGAAAGGATGAAAGGGTGGAAGGGAAGGAAGGAATGAGAGAGGGGGGAAGGAGGGAGGAAGAGGGAAGGAAGGATGAAAGGGTGGAAGGAAGGAGAAAGAGAGGGAAGGAAGTATGAAAAGGCAGAAGGGAAGGAAGGAAGGAGAAAGAGAGAGGGGGGAGGAGGGAGGAAAGAGGGAAGGAAGGATGAAAGGGTGGAAGGGAAGGAAGGAGAAAGAGAGGGAAGGAAGGATGAAAGGGTGGAAGGGAAGGAAGGATGAAAGGGCGGAAGGGAAGGAAGGAAGGAGAAAGAGGGAGAGGGAACGAGGGAGGAAAGAGGGAAGGAAAGATAAAAGGTTGGAGGGGAAGGAAGGAAGAAGAGAGGGAATGAGAGAGGAAAGAGGAAGAAAGGCGGAAGGGAAGGAAGAAGAGAGGGAAGGAGGGAGAAAAGAGGGAAGGAAGTATGAAAGGCTGAAGGGAAGGACGGAAGGGAAGGAAGGAAGAAGAATGAGAGAAGGAGGGAGGAAAGAGGGAAAGAAGGATGAAAGGGCGGAAGGGAATGAAGGGAGAGGAAGGGAGGGAGGAAAGAGGGAAGGAAGGGTGAAGGGAATGAAGGAGAGAGAAGGAAGAAGGGAGGAGACAGGGAAGGAAGCAAGGATGAAAGGGCGGAAGGAAGGAGGGAGGGAGGGAGAAAGGGAAGGAGGGAGGGAGGAAAGAGGGAAGGAAAGAAGGGAAGGAAGGATGAAAGGGAGGGAGGGAGGAGAAAGAGGGAGATGGAAGGAGAGAAGAGGGAAGGATGAAAGGGTGGAGGGGAAGGAAGAAGAGAGGGAATGAGAGAGGGAAGAAAGGAAGGATTAAAGGGCAGAGGGAAGGAGAAAAAGGGAGGTAAGGAAGGAAGAAGAGGAGGAAGAAAAGAGAGAAGGAAGCATAGGATGGTGAGAGGGGGGGACGGCTGAGAAAAGAGCCCAAAGGGCCGGATAACCATGCCTATTCTACTTGGTCCACACAAAATTGTGGAGGAAACAAAACATTCCCCAAAATGTGTTGACCAGTGAAAAGTCCCTTGAAAGTATGAACAGATCACAGGGAGAGGAAACTTCCAAGGGTCAGGGTAGCAACTAAAGCCTCTAGATTAGAACATAGAGGAATTGTAAATATGCAAAGATAATGTATAGTGTGGGTGTGTCCAGACCAACCTGGGCCCAAAGCAGAGCGGTGCTGCCCCTGGCGGCGGGGCGAAGGAAAGGCATCTCCTTAGTCCACGCCCCGCGTAACGCGGGGCGTGGACTAAGGAGATGCCTTTCCTTCGCCCCGCCGCCAGGGGCAGCACCGCTCTGCTTTGGGTTCCTACAGCCGGGCGGAAGGGTTTTCCCGCCGCCGCCTCCGCCCTCCTCTCCCCGGAGCAGGCATGGCCTAAGAAGGAGCCCGGCGGGATGTGGCAGCGGGCGGAGGAGCAGCCGGAGAGCTTCCAGCTCCGGCAGGAGAACGAGCTGCAGGTGCTGGAGTCCATCTACGGGCAGGACTTCCAGGACCTGCGCCTCGGGCAGCCCTGGAAGGTAACGCCCTTTCCTGTCCTTTGCGAATCTCGAGCCTTGAGGCGCCTCTGTGCTGGCAGATCTAGCAGTGACGTATCCACTCTAGGCAGCTTGACACCCCTTCCATTGCCATGGCTAGAATGCTGTGGAATCCTGGGAGAGGTAGTTTTCTCAAGTCCCAAGAGGGCTGTCTCAGGAAGGCAGAAAATCCCACATTACCTGCTTTGAACCGGGTTATCTGAGTCCACACTGCCATATATTCCAGTTCAAAGCAGATAATGTGGGATTTTCTGCCTTGATATTCTGGGTTATATGGCTGTATGGAATTTAATAATAATATAATAAGACTTTGTTTAAGGCTTTCATGGCCGGAATCACTGGGTTGCTGTGAGTTTTCCAGGCAGTATTTCCATGTTCCAGAAGCATTCTCTCCTGATGTTTCACCCACATCTATAGCAGGCAGCATCTGAGGTTGTGAGGTCTGTTGGAAACTAGACAAGTGGCGTTTATATAGGGAGGTGCAGGGTGGGAGAAAGAACTCTTGTCTGTTTGAGGCAAGTGTGAATGTTGCAATTGGCCGCCTTGATTAGCATTGAATAGCCTTGCAGATTCAAAGGCTGGCTGCTTCCTGCCTGGGAGATCCTTTGGGCAGTGATAACTGGCCCTGAGTGTTTCTTGTCTGGCCAACCTTAAAAACTGTGGTATAGACTCTAAAATCAAGACAGTAAATTAAGAACAATACTCAAACAGGGGAATTCCAGACAGGAAACAATCATAGAATCATAGAATCAAAGAGTTGGAAGAGACCTCATGGGCCATCCAGTCCAACCCCCTGCCAAGAAGCAGGAATATTGCATTCAAGGCACCCCTGACAGATGGCCATCCAGCCTCTGTTTAAAAGCTTCCAAAGAAGGAGCCTCCACCACACTCTGGGGCAGAGAGTTCCACTGCTGAACGGCTCTCACAGTCAGGAAGTTCTTCCTCATGTTCAGATGGAATCTCCTCTCTTGTAGTTTGAAGCCATTGTTCCGCGTCCTAGTCTCCAAGGAAGCAGAAAACAAGCTTGGCTCCCTCCTCCCTGTGGCTTCCTCACACATATTTATACATGGCTATCATATCTCCTCTCAGCCTTCTCTTCTTCAGGCTAAACATGCCCAGCTCCTTATGCTGCTCTTCATAGGGCTTGTTCTCCAGAATCTTGATCATCGGGGCCAGCTAACACCTTCCAACATGGGATTCCCCCAGGCAGGAAGCAGTCAGGCTTTGGCTGGTTTTGGAACTTATCATCCACAATGTAAATAATTAATAGAAACCTTTTCTCTATTAAAAAGGTCCTGGAAGATGAAGTCTCTCAGGGATAAATCAAAACACAAAGGAATAGTCTTAACAAAAAAATCCACTGCTACCTTATGGGAGGTTTAAAATAGGTAGACCCACACCATCTTGTTGCTTTTCTGTGATATAAAACCACAGACCATAGGGACTAATTAAACTTTGTGATATTAATTAATTTTTAGTGCTGCATTGTACACGGCAGAGCTTGCAGAAACTGAAGAGTCCTCTAAGATGTTTATGGTTAGAGCCATGCGTATCACATCCTTGAAATTTTGTAAATAAATAATTGATTTTACAAGGTTAACTTAAACTAAACTTGTTCAGTGTGCTTTCTATGCTCTTCTGAATACAGTCTGAGAATACACAAGTGCAATTATTACAAGGTATCATATGCTTATTTCCAAAGTGAGCAAGTGAGATAATGAGTATCAAAGGGAATTGCCCCCCCCCTTTTTTTTAGTTTGTCTCAAGTGGAGCTTCTAAATTGGAAAGCATCTTGTGTGTGCGCTAAAAATTAACACCAACAACTTCTCTCGCTTACTGTTACCTTAAGCATAATTAACAAAGTTATTATTCATGACAGCTTTCCCCCAAAGACTCTGCTGCAGCCCCAAGACATTTGTGAGTGAGGCTGGATACACTTTTCTTTTACTAGTGTTGTTTACTGTAATCTATTAATGGCTTCCCTTGGATATACATTCCAGGGCATTAAACAACCTCCCTGTGTGTGCCAGAAGGTCACATTGCAGCAATTAGAGAAAAATCCACCAATAAGTCAAATTCCTTTAAAATATTTTAAAATTAGGCCATTGTGCAGAAGTAATCAGACCACAATTTCACCTTCCAGAAAAAGATATAGGAAGAAAAGAAAAAGCCATTTGAAGGTTGAATTTTGATAAAGTCTTCTAAGGAGGCCGGTTTTTAAAATCTTTAGTTATCTGACTTTTAATACTTATTGATTTATTTTATATCAAAGCTGCAGCATTATTGTGTTTCTGTCTGGAACATTACAAGAATGTGACTGTCTTCATTCCAGTACAGAATAATTCACACTTTAACTAAGGTTATTTGGAAGACAAATAGTGCAGTTGGTGGGGACGAGAGACAGGGCCTTCTCAGTGGTGGCCCCCTATCTGTGGAACTCCCTCCCCAGTGAAATTAGATCAGCTCCCTCCCTCCTGACCTTTAGAAAGCCTTTGAACAATAATTCAGTGCAATAAATGGATACGGAATAAATGCAATTATTGATTTTAGATTTTTTTATTTTTTCGTTTTTAATGTATATGTTTTTTATTTATATGCCTGTTTATGCAGCATTGAATTGATGCTTACTTGTAAGCTGCTCTGAGCCCCCTTCAGGGTGAGATGGGCGAGGTATAAATATATTTGAATGCAATATTCCTGCTTCTTGGCAGGGGGTTGGACTGGATGGCCCATGAGGTCTCTTCCAACTCTTTGATTCTATGATTCTATAGTAAATTAATAACAAAAGGTCTGACCTAGAGGCCTGGAAGAGCTTTGTTGGGCTCTGCTGCAAGAGGGACCCTGGGGCCTGAATATTGCCATCCAGCTTTGCTGCCTGCTCAGCCCTGGGCTTACCCATGAGGAGACCTGCAGCCACACCCTCATTTTAGCAACATGACCCCGCAGGGAGAGAACATGGCCCCCGCAACCTCGCCGCGCTGCTACTTTAATGGCCGCGGCACCCATTGCCCGGCTGCCGGAATACCTGCACTGGGTGCCTCCATAGCCATGCTGCCCATCATTTGGACATTGGAACACCTGTGCGGGCGCTCGTTTTCAGGGTTCCCCTGCCTCTTCTGTTGCTTCAGACCACTTTTTCCATCAGCCCACTTTGGTTGGGATTCAGTGTTTACTTTAAGCTCTTTTTTGTATTTATATTTGAATTATTGTATGTTTACTTTTAAGCTTTTTATTGTATTTCTATTTGAATTACTTCTAAGCTTGTTATTGTACTTATATTCGAATTATTATCTCATGTTTATTATTGTATGTTTAAATTGATATGTTAATTGTTTAAATTCATATGTTATGTTTATTATTATATGTGTAGTGCGGCATTGTATGCCATGGATTGTAAGCCACCCTGAGTCCCCCACTGGGGTGAGAAGGTGGGGTATAAATGTAGAATAATAATAATAATAATAATAATAATAATAATAATAATAATAAATATTACAGATGCTCCGAGTTAACTTCAGTAGTGGGTACCATTCAGTGCAGGCATTTCTGCCTTGTGGTAGTGCTCTGCATGTTGACTATATTATAGAAGACTAAACAATCATAGCCTCATCAGTTTATTTGTATTCTTATTTATGCGGTCTTCATTTTTATGGTTGGAGAGGGAAAAAACCCAAAGCAGAAACAAATCATGCTGCCTCATAAACCATTGTTTTTGGTGTGGGTTCTGTTTTGTAGCAGAGCTCTGTTGTGCAGTCTCTGAGTCTGACCAAATAGGTCTATACATGTTGGATTTCCTGAAAAACGTGATAGATCATGAATGAGAATGTAGCACAAGAAAGAAACTCTGGCCAATGATACCTCTGACATGTGAGCTCCAGTTTTGACCCCCTGTTCCTGTCTCCCTCTAAACTTCAGGTACGACAGTCTCCGGAAATCAATCTGGTTTTGCGACCTCAGGGCTTGACGGGTGACCATGAAGTTTATGCCAAAGTTGACTTGTGGGTCAAGTGTCCACAAATGTACCCTGATATGTGAGTAAATAAGAAATTTGTTCTAAACATGCCTGAAGTAGGAAAACTATGACACACTGCCCAGTTTTAGCTGTCACAGATCAGTTTGTGGTTACCACTGAGAAATACCAAGTAATAGAACAGAGGTAGGTTTTATTTGCATCAATCCATTCAGAGCAAATTCCTGAGTTGGGATAAATGAAATAACTGCTGCAGATTACAAGGACCACACCGAAGTTGAGGTTACTGCGTCTTGTGATAAAGATACTGTAAATGAAAAAAAACACACAGTTGAAAAGTTCCAAAAGCATCTCTTTGGTTGAGATTCACACTCTAGTGTCCTGAAATTTCAGCCTGCATTCTCTACCCAAACTCTAGTCCTCTGGGACTAGAGTTCCCAGAAGTTTAAGCCAACTTGGCCAACAGCCAGGAATTGCGAGAGCTGAAGTCTAAAATATCTGGAGGATCAATGTTTGGAAACCATTGGTCAAAGATTTTGTATTCACTTTCAGTGCAATTTATATTGAGAAATGTGTACAAGTAGCAAAGGAGGCGAATATACCCTTTTTTAAAAAAATCTTGAGGAAAGCACCTAAAATACCCCAGATTTAGGGAGTGTGGTGTGATGTACACATAGTTAAATTGCTCCTCCGTGATCTAAGGAGACATTTTTTGCCAAAAAAATGGTAAATGTGCTGAGAACCCTTGGAACAGTGGTTCTCAACCTTGGGTCCCCAGATGTTTTTGGCCTTCAACTCCCAGAAATTCTAACAGCTGGTAAACTGGCTGGGATTTCTGGGAGTTGTAGGCCAAAAACATTTAGGGACCCCAGGTTGAGAATGACTGCCTTAGAGGCAGCACTGTACCCAGCTCTCTCTTAACGTATATTATCAGAATATGAACTATTATTTGGCATAAAGTGGTTGCCAGGTCTGGTGTTACTAGGTATCATACCCAAGGATTTTCAAATCTCATGTTTTGTGTTTGTCCCCTCCTCCTCTAGTGTTCCAGAAATTGAACTTAAAAATGCCAAGGGTTTGTCAAACGAAAACATCAACTTGTTAAAATCCCAACTGGAAGAATTAGCAAAAGAACGTTGTGGAGAGGTAAGTGTGTTAATTCTGCCCTAGATAGCAAGCAACATCATCAATATAAACAATGTTTTGATTTTTTGGTTGAAATGAGACACTCTGTAGAAGTATTTTCCATCTATCTGGTTATTGAAGATGTGTTTGCTAATGAAGTTTGAAGCATCTTCTAGTGGCTTCTGCTGTGATTCTGTGAACTTCCAACCACAGGTCTCTTTCAGATATTTATGGCTCGTCACCAGATAAGCTTTTTGCCTGTGTTGACATATGACTTTGCTTCAGAACAGATATTTAGCATAAGACAGTGGCATTGAAGAGCCAGTGCATTTGCTTGCTCATGGAAAATCAGCTGAGAAAAAGTAACTAGCAAATGGAGAGATTCAGGTGGAAGAAGCAGTGAGGATTTTTCTTTGAGGAAAAGAGACCAGAAGATGCTTTGGTGTATATTAGAAAGGGATACAAATTTAGTATTTAATCATTTTATTATTATATATATATATATATATATATATATATATATATTAAATAAATGACATATTGGGGTGTAAATATCACCACTTATTGTGGTCTTATTTGTGTCTGCTTTTATACTTTTGTACTTTATTGCAACTTTTCTAGTGGTTCTGCTGTAAAGGTGCTGTTTGTATGTAACCTGAGGAGTGCAAAACTGTGGCATCTTCTGGCAAAAGCAAGTTTTTATAGCAAAACCTTTAGCAATTTCCAAGTAGGGATTAAATATTGATATAAATAACATTTCTAATTGCTATCCAATAATTCCAAAAATATTATGTGTTTGCTGCTATTTTGTGATCGGCAGTGCCTCTGTGCTGCAATTAGGTGACTGGTCATCATCAGTCCAATAAGATTCTCTTATCTCTGGACTTGATAGCCATGGTTTCACTTACTCATGCTCCAAAAAATATCTTTCCCAAATACATGTGTGTGTGTGTGTGTGTGGGTGGGTGTGGGTGTGGGTGTGTGTGTGTGTGTGTGTGGTGTCCATGGAGTGTGGGTGGAACATATTCCGCACAGATACGGGGATCATAGTATCCTTCTGTTTTGCTAAACTATTTTATTACTAGAGAGGAAATGGCAGCTCAGTGTTATTTCCAACTTCAGTGAGCTGAATGCTGTGTTGCCTAACTATCCAAAATTTTCAGCTAGCCAAACACCAAAGTAATTTACTATATATACAGCTGCAATTCAAACTTGAGAAGGATAATGAGATATTAATATCGAATAAAAATATATTAATATCAGCAATAATAGCAGTCTTGATTATACTGATTCAGATAGCAGCAATGACATTGACCTTCTACTTTCTAAATTTGGTTAATTATTTTTAGCATTAATATTATATCCAGTGTTCATGTGTAATTCGCAAGGCAGACTGTAAGAAAATCAAATGAATTTGTGATAAATGCTTTTCCTTTTAGGGTGTCATCTTTATTTGTTAGCAGTTTCATAGGACAGCATTGGTAGTATTCTATGTGTATTTCCAAATGTTGTCAAGTGGAGAACGTTGATTTTTAAAAACATATGTTAACGGAAACAAATGCTAATGTTGCTGAGTTAAGTTCTACTGAAATTACTTATGTTTACACAAACGTAATTAAGGATAGTTCTTGCAAATGCTTTGGTAAATGTTGCTTTTGCCCCTTCTTTCCAGGTGATGATATTTGAGCTAGCAGCTTATACACAGTCATTCCTCAGTGACTACAATAAACCACCATTAAAATCTTTCCATGAAGAAATGCTGAAGAATCAACAAAAGGAACAAGAAAGGCTCGCTCAGGAAGAACAGCAGCGAATCCAAGACCTTAAGAGGAAAGAAGAGCAGATGGTGAGAAGATTTAATACATCCCTCCATCACCCTCTTTTTCTATACAATTAAGATATCCCATATCTGAAATCTTGAGTGACTTTTTCAGTTGAAATGAAAAGGAAAAGGATTTCAAATGTAGCCTGTCATCTAGCAGGTCTTTTTATGTATTAGCTTGGGTACCTGGTGATGCCTAGGTTATTTGAAAACGCCATTGTTTATTTTGGGGTGTAAATAGTATTACTAATTAGTTAATTAGTAACACTATTTATTAGAAAAAAGTCAGTTTTGATTTGGTTATTTATGAATGCTCTCATTAGAAAATGTATAAGGACGTGGTTGAACTACAATTCCCAAAATAATGGGCCAATCCTCCCCAAACCAGGCCCGTAAGCACAGTTGGCCATGTTGCAGCAGTGTGGTCCAGATCCAACATTGCCTGGGTTCTGTGCTCTCTGTTCTCTGAATGCAGATGAACTACAACTCCCAAAATCAAGGTAAATTCCCACAAACCCCAGCTTCTCTGTGCCAAGTTTAGTCCCGGTCCATTGTTGGTGGGGATCACAGTTTCTCTGGATGCAGATGATCTACAACTCCCATATTCCCAGGGCAATCACCCCCAAACTCCACCTGTATTCACAATTGGGCATGATGGATCTGTGTAGCCAGTTTGGTCCAGGTCTGTGATTTGTGGGGGTTGCAGCGGTCTCTGGAAGTGAGTGAAGGTACTGCAAATCCCATTATCCTTGGCAAGTGTGGTCCAGATCCATTGTTGGTTGGGTTTACAGTGTTCTCTAGTTGTAGGTCAACTACAACTCCTATAAATCAAGGTCTGTTCCCCCCAAACCTCTTGTTAGTTGCTGTCACAGATTTTTCTTGGCAAGATTTGTTTAAGGTAGTGGTGCCTTTCTTCCTTTTAGACTACGAGAATGACTGATTCAAGTGTGCCTCCCTTTAAATCTTTGTTAAAATTGGATTATAGACCATTCATTGCAGTAATATCTGTTTCAGCAACGTGAAATACTTGATGAGATTCAGAGAAGGGAAGAAGAAAAGAAGGAAGAAAGAAAAAGGAAAGAAATAGCAAAACAGGTATTTTTTTGTGATGCCAGATTGTGATAAACCTGCTCTTTTTTTCCCCCAGGCCTTCTACATGTAATTTTTTGCTTTAATGATCTAGTTTTTAGTTTGCATGGACAAAGAACAACACAGGAATAACCAGCTGTTTTAAATAACTATTTTGTTTTCTCTGATGTAATATTGCAAGAAAATATCAAGTGCTGACTAGATCTTATATATCCTCTCCCTCAAACTTGAAAATAGTGCTCCAGTTAGGCATCCTATATGTATAACACCTTAAAGGATGAAGGTGCATTCCAAAAATTGTTTGGCTTTCTCTTCCACCTCACCAATTTTGTCTTTCTAGGAGCGTTTGGAAAGTGCTGTGTTGACAAGCCAGGATATTTCTGCTGGTCGAGATGGTACAGGGAACAAAATTACTTCCAATGGTGGTGCTATGGAGCATGCCGGGAACAATAAATATCGTGCACATTCCACAGGGCGATCAAAGTATGTATTGTTCTTCCTCTAAACCAGTGGTTCACAATCTTTGATCGTCCAGTTGTTTTGGACTTCAACTCCAGAAATCCCAACTAGTTTACCAGCTGTTAGGAATTGTGGGAGCTGAAGTCCAAAACACCTGGAGAACCAAAGGTTGGGAACCACAGCCTAAATAGACTGGATCTGTTTTAGTAAAATTGTTTCAGCCTATGTCACAGCATACACATGATGGAGGTGTGTCTGCAGACATAGTGTGATGTCTCGGCCTGTTTATTTCTCAGTTGGACTGTTCCATTTTACCAAGTTTAGGGGAGAGCTTAGGTTTCCCCTAGAGGCCGAGTTCGGTTGGTGCAGCCCATTCTGACTCAGAGCCAGAATGGGCTGGTTATAGAACTTCGTTTCCCATTCTTTGTTAGTCTTAGCTTATAAATAGTTGCCAGATAGTGTCTGGTCTGGCCTAGCAATTTGAACAGGCCATCCTAATCATGTATTTGCCCTATAGATAGATAGTTATAGATAGATAGTTTAGATAGTACATACCCCAGAGTTTATAGAGTATTTACCTCATAGAAATTATAGTTGTTTTTTTACCTCAGATTCACACCTTTGTACATTGTTGTAATTYAYCTTGWTTRTTTAGTAAACWATTGTTAAACYTAWTCTTGTTTRTAGAGTTTTATTTTGGGGGAATTATAGTAATTAGGGCATATCGATGGTCACTGGGAAAATAGCCAGACACATTTAGGTTTCTCATTAGATCTTCCTGGTGTGCCATCACACATAGATATATAACTACCAGCTCTTAGATGGATTAACTATTTTGTCCACACATACATTTTTCTTTACTTTTGTGTAGCATTATTGTATCTGACACCAGTTAAAGGGATACAATCCTTTAAAGTGTAGGTAGGAGATGTGAACCTTGTAGGTTCAGAATTGTAGAGGCAGTGTTAATTTGTTCAGTTTACATTGATTGTAACTCCTGCATATGAAAACACTTTGAACTACAAACTTCAAAATTTTAAGATATGGTCACAAAATTTTATTAGATTTTAACTAAAAGCTAAATTATTTAATGGGTTTTTTTTACCATAAAAGCACCGGATTCCCTTGGAAGCTAAGCAGGGTCAGCCCTGGGTAGTACTTGGATGGGAGACAACAAGGTGCTGTAAGCTATATTTCAGAGGAAGGAACTGGTAAAACCATATCTGGATATTTCTTGTCTGAGAAAATCCTATGACATTCATGGCATCACCATAAGTTGACAGATAACTTGAAGGCTTATACACACTAAGTAACAGATCCTGATCTTTTTTTAAATATATTTTTATTATTTTATCCTAATTCAATACATTTGTTATACATTGTTTGTTTTGCAGCAGATACGTATTATTCAATACAACCTACCATACTTTAACTTTGGCATCTAGTGTTATTTTTCTGCTTATACATATTTTCTAACCCTTAGATCCTGTTTTGAATGATTTTAACAACAGTGATTTTAATTGCAACTAGACAAGTGTCTTGGAAACACATGAACCTCTATTTACACAGCTTACTGTAGTTGTATGTAGGCCATGGGACCTTTCAGAAGCTGTTGAACTGCCCACATCAGCTCTGGTCAATATATCGCATGATGATGGGTGGTGGAACTGGCAATTTAGCAATATTCAGAGGCCCATTATTACCCATTCATGACTTACGTTGTTTCCTGTAGAATTCAGAGCCTTAGTTGTGCTATTCTTGAGCAATATGCAGTGGAATATTGTAGCATTGTTGAGATTTACTGAGACGAAGTGTTGATAGCAGAAGCTTTGATAAATTTTAGTCGTCTTAATTCGCTTTCATAGACTAAAGTTTACTTAATCAATTGCAAATGTAGACATATCTATGAAAGCTTAAGCTACCAAACATGCAACCATAAACTGCACCTGATGAAGTGGACTTAAGCCCATCATATAGACTTGAGCCTGAATCAGTTTGAATGAAAATGATCTGTAATATTCAGTGGGCTGTTTTGTATAATATCCAAAAACAGAACAGTGAGAAAGGAGCCAGATTTTATCAGTTCCTGGAGAGGAAGGAGTTAAGTCTGCATACCTGAGACAGGGATCTGCCACTCTTTCCTTTTCTCCCTCGCAGGCAGAAGCAGTGTCCCTCCATTTCTTTTTTGGTAAGTTTTCTAGGCTACTCCTCCAGAGAGGGCACTGCTGCACTGCTGGGAACTCTTTTTCCCAGCAGCACTTGCATTGGCAGGCATTGAAAAGTATCTGAGTTCCTTCGGAGCATAGGAATTGACGTTTTTCTCTCTCTGATTCTCAGCCAACAAAAAGCCTGGTTGTGTCCATGGCTGAGAATGGACACAAGTGGCTATTACAGTTCCCAGAACCCTCTCTTGCAGTTTGTCTTATTTTTTAAAAATGTTATGGTTAAAACTTGAAATAATTCTTTAAAAATCAGTATATTGGTGAATTGTTTTGAAACTTGGAAGGCCTGCAGTTGTAAATGGGATCTAAAACTGAGGTAGGTTTCATGGAGATAGGCCTTAAAATGACTCTGGATAGAGCCTTTAAAATTTCCTATTGTAGCCGATGGGCCAAATCTTTGCCGAATGAAAATGGCAATACCCCTCCCGATTTGAATAACTTCCCGGTAAACAGATTGAGGGGGCCAGTCAACAATGGACCCCAAAACAACATGCCTTTTGGCCGAATTGCACACCTCTGCTATTAAAGCTTATGCCCCCAGCTTCTTTCTCTTCGTTTCAAAGTTGCTACAAGATCCCTTAACTTTTATTGATTGAGAAAAGAAACATCTAAAAATACTTACTGATCTTTGCTTTCTAGAAGAGAGCGCCAGCATTCTGCTGGCAGCAGTGAAGATTCCCTAGGAACATGTGAAATTCTACATTTCAATACTAGTGCCACTGGTCAGCTTAAAGTACACAAAGGAAAGTGTATAGGTAAGTGGAAAAAGACTGCTGGGCATCAAAAATGGTTAACATCTCTGTATATATTTTTTCAGTGTAGAGATGAAAGAACAATGAACAATATCTTTTTTTTTACCAAAATACTTAGGAAGTAAAAGCTGTCCGGATATATGAATGGCCACACAAGCAATAGAAAAGAGGAAAGAAAATTATTTGATCAGTATCGGATCAGTTTAATGGTTCCTCTGGATTTTTGCCTTCATTGCCTCTGTTAACTACACTGTAGATGTGTATACTTTCCAGGTAGCTCTAATAGGTTATGATGTTAAAGAGACAGTCAACATTTGAATAGTATCTGTATTTTCTTCATGGAAAACTTTTCATTCACACTCAATGAAGTTTCAGCATTGTGGGCAGTTTTATTTCATATTCCTGTGGCCTTTTATTTTTTCTTTATGTTTATAGATTGTTCATATTAGTGTCTTGCTTTGAATACAAGACATTTTCAAATATTTCCTTATATCTATTGTTGAACAGTTTACAGATATCGAACACTCCCAACCCTATGTATGTTGAAACAATTTGAACCAGTACTCAAAAGGATAGTCAGGGTTTAAAAGAAACAAATGAACTTTTTGTAATGATCTCAGTATCTGCAACACTATCTTTATTAATATCTGATATCTTTCTCCATATTTTGGTGCTCAGACAAGGATGAGCAACTTGGAAAATCAGTCTACAATGCTTTGGAGACATGTACTGGCAACTTTGTCCTTGTGTATGAATGGGTACTTCAGTGGCAAAAGAAAATGGGAAAATTTCTTACAAGTCAAGAAAAGGAAAAGATTGAAAAATGCAAAAAACAGGTAACATGACTGTCCTGTATGTATATACACATACACACAAACATATACATGCATACACACACACATATATGGTCTTTTAAGACTTAAATAAACATTGTGAAATATGTCACTCTCAAAGGCTAATGGACATTTGAATACTTAACAGTTTTTGTATGAATATGATCCTGATCCAAACAGTGACCTAAACCCAACTGCCTAAATCTCATTGTTAGTTCCATATTGCTGTACGCACTAACACCATAAAGCTTGGATAGGTCTCGACACATCGAGTTCCCATTGATTTAGTAGGACTAACAACTGGATTTAGACAAATTAATCTAGATAATTTCAGAATAAGCTAATAACTTTGATAGAACTTTGCATCTAAGCATATGTAGGTATATTTTCAATAATGAATGGGAAGAACTTCAACATTTCTTATTTATTAATTGGGAATATTTATAGGCTCTCAACCCACCAGGCTTCCAAAGCAATGCATAAACAATTTAAAGTAATGTAGGCTCAAGAGTCTTACATGGAAGATTCCTTTATCAAGAGATGATAGGTAAAGGTAAAGGTTTCCCCTTGACATTAAGTCTAGTCGTGTCTGACTCTGGGGGGGTGGTGCTCATCTCCACTTCTAAGCCGAATAGCCAGTGTTGTCTGTAGACGCCTCCAAGGTCATGTGACCAGGATGACTTCATGGAGCGCCGTTACCTTCCAGCTGAAGCGGTACCTATTGATCTACTCACATTTGCATGTTTTTGAACTGCTAGGTTGGCAGAAGCTGGGGCTAACAGCGGGAGCTCACCCCGCTCCCCGGATTCGAACTTGCTTTTGGTCAGCAAGTTCAGCAGCTCAGCGATTTAACCTGCTGAGCTCAAGAGGTGATACTCATATATTATTAGGATGATGATGAGGATATGTATTTATGATATACATATATTATTGGGATTATTATATATATGTTGTGGATGTAGCATATCTTGATTTCAGTAAGGCCTTTGGCAAGGTCCCCCATGATCTTAGTTCAAACAAACTAAAATGTGTGCTAGACAATACTATTGTTAGGTGGATTTGTAATTGGTTAAGCGATCAAACCCAAAGAGTGCTCATCAATGGTTCCTCTTCATCCTGGAAAGAAGTGATGTGGAGTGCCACAGGGTTCGGTCCTGGACCCAGTTCTGTTCAACATCTTTATTAATTATTTGGATGAAGGTTTAGAGGGCATGCTTATCAAGTTTGGCAATGACAACAAATTAGAAGGAATAGCTAATACTCCAGAGGACAGGATCAGAATTCAAAATGACCGTAACAGGTTGGTGCGTGTGGCCAAAACTAACAAAATATATTTCAACAAGGAGTAGTGTAGGATACTTCACTTAGGCAGAAAAAATGAAATGCACAGATACAGAATGGGTGACGCCTGGCTTGACAACAGCACATGTGAAAAAAATCTTGGAGTCTTAGTGGACAACAAGATGAACATGAGCTCATAGTGGGATGCAGCAGCTAAAAAAGTCGATGGGATTTTGGGTTACATCAAAAGGAGTATAGTGTCCAAAGATCGAGAGAAGGAACGGTGCTCCTCTATTCTGTTGTGGTCAGACCTGGCCTGGAATTTGTTGTTCATTCATTCAGTCGTTCCCAGCTCTTTGTGACCTCATGGACCAGCCCACGGCAGAGCTCCCTGTCAGCCGTCACCACCCCCAGCTCCTTCGAGGCCTGGAATACTTTGTCCTATTTTGGAGACCATGCCATATGAGGAGCAGCTTAAAGAGCTGGGTCGATTTAACCTGCAGAAGAGAAGGTTGAGAGGAGACCTGACAGTCATGTATAAATATTTGAAAGGATGTCATAAGGAAGAGTGAGCAGGCTTGTTTCCTGCTGCCCTGTAAACTAGGATGTGGAGCAATGGGTTCAAATTACAGGAAAGGAGATTATACTTTAAGAAGAACCTCCTGACTGTGGTGGAAGCTCCTTCATTGGAAGCTTTTAAATAGAGGCTGGATGGCCATCTGTTGGGCTTCCTTTGACAGTGATTTTCCTACATGGCAGGGATTGGACTAGATGGTTTATTTGGTCTCTTCTAACTCGATAATTCTATATTTATGCTTTTTCTCTGCCGAAGGAGACTCAAAGCAGCTAACATTAAAAACCACAACAATGTGTGAATTAAAACCTAACACATATTAAAATAGAATTAAACACAGAAATATTACAAATATACTGTCAAAACCAATAAAATCATTATTTGGATCTATATTAATTGATAACTTTTGTGTGTTTTTTGAGCAGATTCAGGGGGCAGAGGCAGAATTTAACTCTTTGATGAAGTTAAGCCACCCCAACATAGTCCGTTACTTATCGATGAACTTTAAAGAGCACAGGGACTCGATTGTGGTAGACATTTTGGTGGAACATATTAGTGGATCCAGCCTTTCAGTGTATTTGGAGAAAGAGATCCCCCTTCCCATGGATCAACTGCGCAATTACACAACACAGCTTCTATCAGCCCTTGACTATCTGCACAACAATTCCGTGGTGCACAAGGTCCTGAGTGTGTCCAGCATATCGGTGGATGCAGAAGGCAATCTCAAACTGACGGACTACAGCATTTCCAAACGCTTGGCAGATATCTGTAAGGAAGATGTCTTTGAACAAACAAAAGTTCGATTCAGTGAAGATGCCTTGCCAAACAAACCAGGGAAAAAGGGAGATATCTGGCGATTGGGTTTGATGCTGCTTGCTCTCAGTCAGGGACAAGAAGTTAAGGAATATCCGGTCACGATTCCGAATGATTTGCCGGCTGATTTTCAAGACTTTTTGAAAAAGTAAGTAAGATCACATACCAAGGAAAAGGCTTAGATGCCCAGAATTAAGTCATGTGTCCAGGAATAATTTTACTGAAGATATAGATTTTTAATAAAGAGTGTTACACTGAAATAGGTTATTGTTGCTTTTGCAGTGGGAGCTCTAGTAAATACTTCACAATAAAGCGGCTAGTTTTGTGTGTCGGGGCACCATTTCTCTTGTCTAAAATCCCATAGAGCAGTGGTTCTCGCCTGTAGGTCCCTATGTGTTTTGGCCTACAACTTCCAGGATTTCTGGGAGTTGAAGGCCAAAACATTTGGGGACCCGCAGGTTGAGAACCACTGCTGTAGTGGTTACACCAGATTCTAAATAAAACAAGTCAAAAACAAGTACAATTTTCTCCTGGAAAGAATTGGAAATATTTGAAATATTAAAAAATACTTTTCCCTTTAGGGGTTCCAAGTTATGTAAAAATAGCCATTTAAATTATCTTCTGTCAGAACCTGGACTTCTGACTTATTTATGTTGCTGATATAAAAAGAATCTGTTGTCCTGGTGTTCGATAGAACTGATGGGATCCTAGAACTGGTATGGATGACATACATTTTTCTTCTTCTGACCGACAATGGACAGATCTTGGACTATGATTTTAAACTTGCATAATTTTAATTTGACATTGTAATAACTGATGTAATTATTTGATTTTTATTGTAGCTGTTATTTATAACTGTATGTGTCGGCATCAACTGGTTGCCTGTTGTGAGTCTGCCCTGAGTCCCCCTTCAGGGTGAGAAGGGTGGGGTACAAATGTGTGAAATAAATAAATAAATAAATAAATAATTCTTCTTACAAATTATTTGTACTGTTATATACATTAGAACTAGCATACACTGTAACATTTTTTGGAAATTATTTCTCTGTAATCACAAATTCTGCGGGTTGGAATTTTGAATAATTACAGAGCTGTAAACTCATTTGGGTCATTATGAATTGTGGGCCACATCCAGTGTGATGAAAGTGGATGGCTTCTCATGAAACAGGGCTGTCCCTCTCCTCTTTCCCTTTTGATCCCACAATAGGCCCCAGTCTGCTCATTAGTATCCAAGAAAGAAGCAAAAAATTCTTCTACAAACAGCACTATGAATAGCATCTTTACATAAAATCCTCAAATATGATTGGGCCACCATCTAAAACAAGTGATACAATTTGATTTTTTTGTCTGACCAGTTCTGTTGAAATGCCGAATGAAACCTGCATTATTTTGTGTTCTATTCAGGTGTGTTTCCTTGGATGATAAAGAAAGATGGAGCACCCAGCAATTATTACAACACAAATTTGTCAACCTGCCACAAATGAAAATGCCTACAATGGAAGAAAGTCCAGATGGTAAATATCCTATCCTATCCTATCTGATTAATCGTTGATCCGTTCCTTTGGGCTTCATGCAAATCTACCATCACACAAATCGGTGGATGGTGAATAATTCAAAGATTTGTACCTGTGCTGGGGTGAGGGTGGGGGATACAGGGGTATAGAAGTTGAACATGAATATGAGTGAAAATAAAATGCATTCATTACTACAACAGTATCTAAAACATCATATGTTCATAAAATACTTCAGGATTATAAGGCAATTGATGAGGTTCTTTTGAAGTTAATTTGAGTTATATTTTTCATTTTTATTGAAACATTTTGTTTGCAAGAATTTCAATTGATACTGAAGCGTCAGTCAGAATGGAATTTATCTCATGACATTTGGGAAGAACGTTCTTGCTTTTGCTTAACTAACTTTAAGAACAGTATGAATAGAGGGCAAAAGCCCATAAAGCCAGGAAATGGTTTTAATACAGCTTGAGACTTCCTTATCCAGAATTCTGAAGTGTTCCAGTAAATCTTAAATTGTCCACATGGTTGGCTGAGGTATTACACCTTTGCTGTTGTAGTTCAGCCAGCTGATGAGGATGAGGGGTTTGGGGGTGCAGGGCTTGATGGTTCTGAAGATGCCCAGGCAGAGGGGTTGTTGGAGCAAGATGGTTCTCTGATGGGGAGAACGGAGGGGGTTTTGGAGCAAGTTTTTGTTTCTGAGTGTGGGAATGAAACTGTTTTGTAAGCTGACAGGCAGGGAAGGAAGGATAACATGAGCTCATCTGAGGAAGCAGCTGGCTTAGACAGAGATACCAGGCTGTTCCTATGGGGGAAGAAGAAATTCAGGTGCAAGCAAAGCCATGGGAAGGGGAGGCAGAAGCAGGGCTCTCAAGGTCAACGGAATGCCTTCATATATTGCAGCTCTTAAATTAGGGAGAGGATTTTTAGATCAAGCGATGTCACTACTGGAGTGGGAAACTCCTGTCTTGTTCCTGGTTATGCTGTAAACTCAAGGCCCAAGATTCCTAGTCAAGATTTGCTTCCTCCGTTAAGGATTTTACCTATGAATTCAAGCTCTTGTTTTGTTCCTTGTTTTCTGGAATAATGTTCAAGTTTTAACTCTTGTTTTGGGGATTTACCTTTTGCCTATGGGACTTGCTTTCTACATACACACTTTGGTTTTTACTCGATTATTTGCTTAAGGTGCTTCTGGCCCTTTCTTATATGTGTTTTATCAATCAACTGTTTAATACCACGACTGGTTTCCTGGTGAGTGCTTTGAGCAAGGTGAACTTCTGCTGAGGTGCAACATATGCTTTCGAATGGTTCCATGTATAAAAATACTTCGTTTTATGCACAAAATTATTAAAATGTATGTAAAATTGTCTTTGGGCTGTGTATAACTTCAGAATAAAACATAATTTCATGTTTAGATTTGGAGTCCATCTCCAAAATATCGCATTTTGGAAAAATGTGAACATACAGATACTCCAAAATTCTGAATCCAAAACACTTCTGGCCCCAAGCATTTCGGAGAGGGAATCCTTGCAACTGTACAAATTATTTACAGAGGCCATGAAATGCAAATCTCTATACAGTTCTTAAGCAATTACTTTCATGAGCCACCTCTGGGTTGTCTCTTATGTATTGCTGAAGTGGATGAAGACATGTGTCTACTGTATTTGGTAAGGATTAAAATTCCAGCTATAGGATGCTGAAATGAATAAGCCTTCATTTCAACAGAAAGCCTTTATCTACCATATCCTCATACCAATTCTTCATAACTGGCACTAGATTGCTTATGTGCACTTTCCTTTTACTTTATCATTTCTCTGTTTCCAGATTCCACTGGAATAGATGATATTGAAACTGTTATTCCCAGCAGTCAGATTGTTAGCAACATCTTTGTCACAGAATTACAGAGGCAATTTTCACGTTATTACAATGAGTTTGAAGAATTGCAACTGCTGGGTAAAGGCGCCTTTGGAGCTGTCATCAAGGTACATGTAATGAAACTGATTTTATTCTTCCTACAGTTTTTGTGTTCATGAAACATTATTTCTAGTAGTTATACTGATCAGCAGTTAACTTGGGTACAGAAGAGGATTCAAAACATATTTCCCATTGTAGCACATGCTTTAGCAGTCTTAATTGCTGTTTCTTATTAAAGCAATTTAGCTGCTCACATTACTTCTCAGAAAAGTTCCCTTTATACCATGGAATCCTTTCACATCTAATAATTTTTATTTGTACCCTGTCATCATCTCCCCGAAGGGACTCGGGGCAGCTCACAAAGCACACCAAGGTGCTGCACATGTAGTGTAATGCCATGCGGGTTTGCTTAGAAGTAATCCCAGCTGGCTTCAGTGGGCCTTACTACATAGTAGATAAATAGAAGGTTTGCAGTTTCATCCTTGTATATACACACTGTGATTTTGGTACCAAACAGGCAAAAGCCTAATTCTAATAGCAGATCTTTGCCGAAATAAGCTTTTAAAAAGAACAGGGAGAGCAAGAGAGTTCTGTAGGATGGTCCCCATAACATGGATAGTTGCATGCACATATGTTGGTCAGAAAATTTGACCAAGGATGTTTTGGGACAATTGAGAGGAGCCAGGACTCTGTTCGTGAGACATAATTTCATTAATATAGGAGGGGAAGAAAGGGAGTCTATAGCCAAACTTAATTTTTTAAAAATGCTGGAAAAGGGAAATGTGCTGCTGCTGAGAATTCTAAATGGTAACTTCAGATGTTTATTTACAGTTTATTTACAGTATTTATGTACTGCCTTTCTTACCCCTGGGGGGACTCAAAGCGGTTTAGGTTGAGATACATAATGTGAATTGCAAATTTAAATGTGGGAACGCCAGTATATTCTCAAACCCAGAGTGTACCTGTTGTTCCATTTGGATTCCCACAGAGAATGAAATGCAGCACTCCATAGGAAGCCTTCTGTTAGTGACTCACATTCAAGCCCCTTTTTAGATGGCATGCAGAGGACTCTTCTCTTGCCTGTATGTTCCTTCCTAAAGCTTCCCATGACTGGAAGCTTCCCATGACTTCTCAAGGCCTGGAAGAGGCAGCATGCTGCTGCTTTTTTTGCTGGAAGAAAAGTGTAGGGCCAGGACAATTCAGACCATGAAAATTGAGCTTTGCTTCTGATGGATGGAAAAAGCAGACTCATTCCATTTGAAAAGGACACTCTAATTTCTTCTATTGCAGGTTGAGTTGAGAGCAGCTGTTTTTCTAAGGTCTAATTTTTTTTTTTACTATTTATTGTTAGTTTTTACTGGCATTGATTTCTTGCCAGAGCTGTAAGCTGCCTTGAGTCCCCTCAGGTGAGAAAGGCGGGATAAAAATGAAGTCAATAATAATAATAAATTGTCTCCTTTAACCAGGTTGTTCATGCAGTTCCCTAGGGATCCCGCCACTCACCCTGCTCCTGTTCCTCTATTTTAATCCCTCATAGATTGGATTCCTGGCCCTCAGGAACCTATGGCTGTGATGTTGTGTGGGTTCTGTGATGTTATGCATGGCCTGAATCCAATGTGAGCTTGATAGAGAGACCCAAAAACAGTTTTAAAATATTTATTTATTTATTTATTCACTACATTTATATGTAGCCCTTCTCACCCCAAAGGGGACTCAGAGCGGCTTACAAGATACAGATATATATATATATATATATATATATATATATATATACACACACACACACACACACACACACACACACACACACACACACACACATACACACACACATATACATACATACACACACACACACATACATACAGTATATTATATTATTAGCATAGTACAATATCAGTATTATATTGCATGTAATATAAAATATATAATTATAATATTTTATTATTAGTAGTGGTATTGTATTGCATTATAATATTATATATATTATATTTATATACAATATATTATATTACATTATTAGTAAAGCACAGAAGACTTTTTTTTCAAACACAGTAGAACAATATATTAACCTCTAATGTTCTATTCTTTTAGGCTCCCCAAAACTGTAGCTAGTTCTCCCTTCTGATGGGGTATCCTGTCTCCCCTAAATCCAATTCTGTCTCTGCCAAATCCACTTTTCTCTCTCAAATCTAAGCCCTGGCTCTATCACCTTGAAAATCCTAACTGCCATGCACAGAGGCACACTTCTTTACCAGGGCCCCCCCTTTACCTTCCACCTGAACTGTGATTGTCTGCCTTCAAGCTGTCGCCCAGTACTTCCTTCATGCCTCCTTCTCCCTTCCCCACCAATAAACAAGAGTAGCAACAGCCTCCTCTGGCCCTTGAGAGCTGTCTGGCAGAAGGACAAGGAATCAGTGAGATGTATTTATTTATTTTTATTTATTTACTGTATTTATACCCTGCTCTTCCCAACCCCGAAGGGGACTCAGAGCGGCTTACAGATTATGGCAACATTCAATGCCGCATCATACAACAAATAATAAATATAACATATCAAATTATAAAACAAGTAAAACATAAATGCAATAAGTAGAACAGATAATAAATATAACATATCAAATTATAAAACAATTAAAACATATAAATGCAATAAAACATACTAAAAATAGTTTTAACAGAGCAGATGTTCCATCAGGGGAAGAATGAGATGCCAAACCGGGTGGCAGTGTTCACTCAAGAGAGGGCTCAAGTGAATCAAGGGCTGGAAGAAACAAATGTTGGTATCTCTGTGCTGACCCAAGGATGCTGAAATGGAGTCCAGTCAAGATAGTCCAGCAGGACTAAGCGGTCCCCAGAAGCTGAGTGAGTCCCTAGAAGCTGAGCCAGAGGCAGCAAGGGAAATAAATGCTGCCCCTTCCCTCAAAACCCCTGGTGATGGTACCTTCACTTCTTGCTTAAGCTTGAGGCCCTGCAGGCATGATGTAGTCATTTGAATATTGGGCTACGATTCTGGAGATCTTGATTCAGATCCCCATTTGCCCATAAAAACGTACTAGGTTATCTTTGGCAAGTCACACTCCCTCAACCTCAGAGGAAGGTAAAGGCAAGACTCTACCAAACAAATCTTGCTAAGAAACCCCTATGATAGTGTTACCTTTGAAGTGCCATAAGTTGGAAATGACTTGAAGGCACACATCATGCCATCCCTTATGTTATTGTTACTGTGCTTGCAGAGCTATGTGCACATGTAGGATCTCACTCTATATATAGCAACACTCAAAACTGTCTTGTGTAAGAGAAATGGAGAGATGTCTAGAAAGAAAGATTCTGCATGTTTTCCCTCCCTGAAACCACTATCTGGTGATATTTTCAATGGGTAGGTCCAGAACAAACTGGATGGCTGCTGTTATGCGGTAAAGCGAATTCACATAAATCCCACAAGCAAACAGTTTCGAAGAATCAAAGGGGAAGTGACGCTCTTGTCACGTCTGAACCATGAGAATATTGTGCGGTATTACAATGCATGGATAGAGAAACATGAGAGGCCTTTGCTTGACACTTCAGCATCAGAAAGCTCAGAAGGGAAAAAAGTGGCTGAGAAGCTGGCTGAAAATGGGAAGGTTGAAGAAGGGTCGATAGATGACATTGTAGCAAATGCCCCTCCTCCAGTTCTGACCAGTTCAGTTGAGTGGAGCACCTCTTGCGAGAGATCGTCAAGTGCCAGGTTCAGTGGAGCGGATCAGGAATCCAGCGATGATGAAGACGATGATGAAGAAGGCGGAGGAGTGTTTTCACAATCATTCTTGTAAGTGTTAATCTAAGATATTTATTTCTCACCCCTCCCTTGGACAGTTGTGAGTGGGTTAGAATTTGGTTTGTTCTTCCATAAATGGAAGGTCCGTTTGCAAAGGGACTACAATTCCCTGGAAGTCTCCATGACTGCAAGGGAAAGGAGAGAGTATTTTTGGTGCCACTTCCCCATCCCCTTGGATTGTCTCCCAGACTGTCTTTCAGCACTGTCAGGATTTTTGGTACTTCCAGAAAAAGGTCAGTGAGAATCAATTCTTGTATCATCAGTAGGTATAAAATATGGGATGTTTTAGTCAGAAATGCCACTTTTATCATCAAATACAGAAAAGAATGTGCTTGGATGCTGTGGAAAGGAATCATGGAAAGGAAAACAATTAGCATTTCTTTTATATTTTTATAGGAAATATTTAAACTCATATAATAATAATAATAATAATAATAATAATAATAATAATAATAATATACTTTATTTATATTCCACTATCTCCCCCGAGTGGACTCAGGGTAGATTACGATACACATATATGGCAAACTTTTAATGCCATTATATAATTAACAAAGACAGATAGTACATAAACAAAGGCTTCCCACCTTTTCCCACCTCCATCATCTGGAAGCTGTGCTCGACTCCAGCCACCGGGGGGCGGGGTGTGTGCTGTTGCTCCATCTGCCATGCCGAGGAGCTTTGTTGTTCTTAGACGCTTTCCCAATCAAATTGCCGGCATGTCCGCTTGGGTGCCTTTTATTACCTCCCCACTAAAGCGGTACCAATTTATCTACTCAGATTGCTGTTTTCAAACTGCTAGGTGAGCAGAAGCTGGACTGATGGTTGGGAGCTCATCCCAACACGGGCTTGAACTGTCGACCTTTTGATTGGCAAGATTTTCTGCAGCTGGTGGTTTAACCCGCTGAGTGGAAGACAATGGCAACCCTCATCTGAATGAACTTTGCCATGAAAACCCTTGGAAGGAGTTGCTATACGTTGGAGTCAACTTGATGACACATAACAACAGCAAACTTAGATACTATAAACCACCCTTTATAATATCTATCACAGAGTGGTTTACAATGCACTTAGAACTACAGTTGTAACAATTATATAAGTTAAAATTATATACCTTATAATATAACAATTTTATATCTAAAATATTTAGAATTAGTATACCAGAAGCACAATTAAATTTTAATTTAACTGAGTGAAAATCTTAATTCCAATGGCCCATTACCAAGTATTCAGTCATAGCCTTCTGCTGGAATGCAGATTTTGATGGGACATAGTTTGTTTGAAAAGACTTTGATTTTTCTGCTTGTGTTTGTTGATTTAGGCCAGCAGCAGACTCTGAAAGTGATATCATTTTCGATCATGAAGAAGACAACAGCAAAAATCATACAACGGTAAATAAATATTGATGTAATTGCTATAAAAGTATTATTTAATCCTCTTCTCACAAATTTGTAAGATGACTGGTGTTTGTATTCTGCCTCTCTTGAAGTACAGTGAACCAGTGTGTCATCCTGTGTTTCATAGTCATGTCAGTTTCCACTTAATGTCCAAAATAGTAGGCAGGTACAGAGACAAGATCAGTCTAGTAGGTTGCTCAGAGATCTTAGAATTGACTTGATAGTCAGTTTACTAGTCACAATTAGCACCTGTATCAAAGTGTTAGGGGATTAAAGTGGTCACTGTTGTTTTACTACAGTTGTCCCTCCACATTTGTGGTTTTGTTTTTTGCAGATTTGGTTATTCACAGATTTGATTAAAATGTTCTCTCTAGTATTCTCCAGTGTGATCTTGTGGTCACCTTCCTTGAGATATGCTACAGAACCCAGAAAGTATTAGGGAAAAAACTCCTCTGGGAAAATCCAGGTCCTCCTCTGTGATTCTGTGTTCAGCTTCCATAGAGTCATGCTGGAGGACCTAGAAATTCATAAATAGATGTTCAGTTAAAAACTGCAGATTTCTTCATTTTCCAATTTTACAGGGGCCCTGCTTGAATGTGAATGTGAAGGACTGACTGTACTTTAATTAAATATCATTTATCTAGACAATTTACTCAATCATTTTTTCTTGTTCAAATGCATATTGCTAAGTGGGCCAGACATTCTTTTGTTTTTTCCCCCTCCCTGCAATTTTCTTGTGCAATACAAATGTACAAAATAGGCACTGTTAGTAATTTATTGGGATCAAATCCTTGTTCTCGTGCCAGGGCAGCAGCTGTGGTTTCCTTTGGATTTTGAAATATAGATGGCATAGAAGCACAATGCATGGGCTTTTTCCTCATACCAATTACTGAGGCAATTGCATCTATTGGCTCTTCTCTTTCCCCAGACAGTTCAATTTTCCTGCATTGCCAGCTGGACAAGTATCCTACTCTCTCCCTATTTTTATTTTTGTGTACCTCTTATTTCCTCAATTTCCTTTAAAGCTTTGTCTTTCCTTACTGCTACTTAACAGTTACTTTAATATTAAAATAGTAACAGCAATAAACAAGGAGGTAATAAAAAGAAAGGAAAATTCATAGAGGCAGACAGTTCTCCAAAAGACCCATGATGACTTATGGAGAAAAAGAGAGAGGCAATCAGTGATGCCCAAAATAATTTGTTTAGCTGCTGCTCAGCATATATTGGGATTGGATCAGGAAAGGAAAACATTACCAGCAAAATCCAGCCTGTTGAAAAAGTACAAATTAAATACAGGTGGCCCTCCATACCCACAGATTCTGTAGCCAACAACAACAACAACGAAAACAATAACATTTCTTAGCTCAAAATATCTTCAAAGAGTTCCAAAAAGATAGTTCAGAAGCTGCAATTACAAAGTGTTGGTCATTAACTGTAAAGCCCTAAATAGTTCAGGTCCAGTGTATTTGTCTAACTGCATCTCCCTATATAGATCACCTCGTGCATTGCTGTCAGAGGAGGGGGACCTGCTCTCGGTCCCACCTCTGTCACAAGCATGGTTGTTGGGAACGAGAAAGGAGGCCTTCTCCGTGATTGCTCCCCGTTCTGGAACTCTCCCTCCCAAAACATAAAAATGGCCCCCACCCTCTTCTCCTTCAAAAAACCCCCCATAAAGTTCACTTTTGCACTTTGGCTTATGGAATGGAGGACTAGGATATTCTAGACCAAAGCCATTAGAAGGTTTGGCTGATTTATTTATACCCCGTGATCACACTGGTAGATTTTAAATAATAACTACAACAGCCAGTGTTGATATATTTTAATTGTTCAATTGTGACAGATGTTTTAATGTTTTAATGTTGACTATGACTATGTTTTAAGGTACTCTTGTTTCTGTACCCTGTTTTTCATTTTTGACATTCAATTTTTTCATGCATTTAGTTCTTAGTTGTTATTATTTTGTACTATGTTATATTTCTTTTTGGGCATTGAATGTTTGCCTTCTTTGTGTGTAAACTGCCCTGAGTTCCCTTGGGGAGAGAGGGCGGTGTAGTAATAAAGTATTATTATTATTAAAAAGTAAACTTTGATTTTGTTCATTTTATGTAATGAACACTATTTTACCATGGATTTTAGGATTCCCAGGGGGTCCTTGAATCAAACCAGGGGCCTTTTGTAATTAAATTGTAGACTTCCCGAAAGGTAATGAGAGTGTCAATATTCTGCATAAGTACTTCATTGGAAGTGTATGCCACTTGCATCTTACTTTGAGAGATCTGGGAAGATGGTCCAAACTATTTCTTACAGTGGCCTGCCAGCAACTCTCAACAATAATAATACATTTGAAATTGTTTTGGTGACTTAAGTGTTTTAATTTTCTTGTTGTCACTTATACTTTTCAGATTAAATAGGTACATTAATATATAAAAGATGAAAAATTGGACATTATGGAAAAAGTCATGCAAACCAAAGGAAAGCTTCAAATACTTTTCTTAAGGGGGGAAGGCATCCACAGTTTGCCTGGGGGTCATGAGAAATCTTCCAATGAGAAATTAAACCAAGAAACCATATAGTTATCTTGCTTTATATGGTTTCTTGGTTTAATTTCTCATTGGAAGATTTAGCCAAGGACTTTTATGACTGAATTCTAGGTATGAGTTCTCCCTAAGTATTCACCTCAGTTTCCTTTCTGAACGAGAAAAAAAATCAGCATTCCTGTGTATGATATTATTATGCTCCCTTCCCTTTCTCTGTTTCCATAAAATAAAAGATACATTTATTCAGAATACTACATGCATCAAAAACATTTTTTTAATGTAATGTTTTGTTCTTTTGTTTTTTCTATAACACAGGATGAAGACTGCAAGGGAAAGGATAGCCATAGTGAAGGAAATGGAACAGCAGAGGTTCAAACCTTGCATTATCTCTACATTCAGGTTAGAAATTCTTTGACACCTGGTTGCAGAGAGCTGCTCAGTTAGAAAGCTTGCTCATTCAGATTTCTAGAGTAAGGAGGAATGAGATTACAAAGGTAAAAGAAAAAATCGGCATCTAATATTTATTTGGAAGCTGGTGATTTCTGAATGAATCTTAAAGCACAATTGTTTATTTTATACTTCTCTCATCCCATTTCAAATCTGATTGTTTAACAAACACATTCAAATATAAAATACCATTTAATAACAAATAGTAAAGCATCACATACCAGTAAAAAGGATAGGCTTAAAAGAGTAGTTTCATTACTAAACTGAGCTACAAAGTGGGTGCAGTTACCTCTATTTCAACTGTTTCTTCTTTCGTCTGAAGATGGAATATTGTGAAAAGAGTACTTTGAGAGACACCATTGATCAAGGCTTGTATGAAGACACCAGTCGCCTTTGGAGGCTTTTTCGGGAAATTCTGGATGGATTAGCCTATATTCATGAAAAGGTTAGTCATATTTATGGCATGCATATTCAATTAAAATTATGTTCCTTTGGTTTTTATTTATTTGCTAATTATAGTCCTATCTTGCTCTTGCCTTCATTATTTAAGTACACTTGAAGATATTTTAGGATGAAAGAAAGTAACTAATCCAAGCTCACACACTGAGGTTCATGGCTGAACAATAGATCTGGGCCTAGATTTCAGCAGTGGATATTTTATCAGTTTCCTGGTTCATGCTATCTTCCTTAAAGCTGTTTTTACTTTCTACTCTAGAAGAGAGGTAGACTTCTCTTTTGGTTTGATAGGATTAGTATTAATAATAATAGTTAGTATCTTTTATGTTAGCAGAGTCTTGCTTTATTATAAATTCATAGTGGAAAACATCAAAAGTAAGAAAACAAACATCTTGCATCAGATATCAGACCCTAAACAAAACATTTAGAGTCCCAAACTCCAAAACGCCATAGCTTCTCCAAAAGCTCAAGGCTATAGCAATAGCAGAACGCTGAGGGACGCTGAAAGCTGCTGAAGGCTGCTGCTGGCTGCAGGCAGATGCAACACATTATAACCACAGTAATTAGATCCACCTGCACCCAATTAACCAAAACCACATCACAAGCATTTCAGCAATTAAAGATACAAACTTACTTATACATACATAACCCAAATACATACAATGAACAGATAAAATTTTGCACATTTTTACAGTTCTCCTGACACTCCTCCACAAAATTATATCAGTTCATATTTATATAATCATAAATTCAGTCTTTCACAAAATTGGTTATGTTTATCACATGTAAGAGGCTTCGTCAAAATATCTGCAACATTTTCAACAGAAGACACATAGTTAAGAACAATTCTTTTGTTCTTTACAAATTGTTGCACGTTAGAATATCTAACATTGATATATCTAGATTTCGTTTTTAAATTTTGACTCTTACACAATGCGATGCAAGTTTGAGAATCTACATACACCTGTATTGGTAATTCCAAATCAATGTTCATATTTTTAATTAGAGATTCAATCCACTCTACTGATGTCAAGGCATCAGATAATGCTGAAAACTCAGCTTCTCCTGTACTTAAAGCAACTAAGTTTTGTTTTCTACTTTTCCAGCAAACTGGTGTATTGGCATATTTTATTATAAATCCTGTGACAGATTTATTTCCTTTTAAATTAGCGAATGAACTATCGCAATGGATTTCCAAAGACTGTTTGTCATTTGGGCAAATTCTGAATATTTTTTCAGCTGTTTGCTTTAAATATCTTAAAACTCTTTTTACTCCGGCCCAGTCTGTTTGTGAAGGATTTTGAATCCTTTGACTTAGGATACCAACAGAAAACGAAATGTCGGGCCTAGTATTGTTTGCAATATACAATAAAGAACCAAGAACTGAACGATAAATAAAATTGTTATCAAACACTTCTCCATCTACATGTTGTAAGAACTGAAGAGCCATAGGAGTATTAACAGTGTTTGCATTTTCCATTCTGGTTCTTTTCAAAAGATCATAAATCTTATCAGTTTGGTTTAATTCAAAACCAGTTTCATTTCTAGCAATATTTATGCCAAGATATCTATTAACATCTCCAAGATTTTTGATTTTCAATACTTTGCTTAAATTCTGAAAAACTTCCTCAATTTGTTCTTCAGATCCAATACATAACACATCATCCACATAAATTATAATAAACATTTGTGTATCTCCACTTCCTTTTGAGTACAAACAAGGATCAAAACTGTTTGCAACAAAATTTAACTTTGTCAACACTTTGTCTAAATGTAAGTTCCAATTTCTTGCACTTTGTTTGAGACCATAAAGACTTTTCTTAAGAAGATAAGTCCCATCAGGAAGATCAGATTCAAAACCTGGAATAGCAGAAATATAAACTTTTTCTTCTAAATCTGCATGAAGGTATGCAGTATTTACATCAAAATGTTTGACTTTTAAATTTCTATTACTGGCAATTGCAAGGGTTATTTTTAGTGCTTCCCCAGACACTGTGGGGCTAAATATCTCATTAAAATTTTCTCCATATATCTGTTCAAAACCTCTAGCAACTAACCTGGCTTTGTACAAAAAACCACCATCCTTTGTTTGTTTACGTCTATAAACCCAACGACAACTTAGAACCTTTACATTGCCAACTGTTTTAGACTTCTCCATGACTTGCAAATCTTTCAAAGAATCAAATTCACTTTGCATTGCTTTTAACCAAAGATTTCTTTCAGTCTCTTCTTTATTCAACATCTCTTTATAACTTTGAGGTTCTGACCAGTCATGGTCTGGTACTTTCACAACTTCACAATGATATCTCTTTGGAGGTATACCCTTAGTTATCCTAGAACTGCGCCTAGGAATGGTCCTAGTACTATCTCCTCCATCAGTCTCATCAGTTTCTGAATTACTAGAGCTAGTACTTTGTGAACTAGAAGATTCAGCTTCAGCTTTTCTCTTTTGAGATTCTGTCCTTTTAATTACAGGACTACTGCTTTGTAACTGACTAGAAACAGATTCTTGCTTCACTTGCACTTGTGAACCAAAATGTGTATCATGAGATGTGCTTGGTTGTATATCTTGCTGTGCAGACTGTTGTGAAACTGATTGCACTTGTGTAGCAGGTTGCTGTGAAACTTGTTGTGTAGTTGGCTGTGTGGTTAGTGGTGTGTGCATTTGAGTAGTGTTAAAAGGCAAAAACACTTCCTTATTTGAATGAATCCTATCCCAACCACTGTGTTGTTGAAACTTTACACTTTTAGAAACTAACACCCTATTATTAACCACAACCAAAATTCTCCCAACCTTTTTTGATCACCAGAAGCAGGGCCCCCCTAGATATTTCAATTTTTCTTCTCAAATGAGAGATCCTTCTTACATGTCTTTGTTGAGAAAGGATTAAAGACTATATGAGTCCACTTCCAAAAACCTCTGATTGAACTCAAATCAGGAGGTTGTTTTTTTCCCCAAAAAACAAAAAAGATAAGGATACTAATTTTGACACTTTGTCAAAAGAACCGTTTTGAGCACAAAGGTAGCCCATTTTGCCACAAGCTTCAGCACAATCTCCATCTTCAATCACGAATAAATTAGGCATCCCCCTCTATACATTTTTTTCTAGCTAGCTAATTTTTAGAAAAAAAACACTCTATTCCACCTTCTTGCCAACCACAATTTTTTTCAACTGGTGAGTGAAAGGATTTTGTTTTACCTGTTGGAACTAATGCCTAAACTTTTTTCAAGCTGTTTTTCCCCATTGTGTGTTTTGGACATTAACTCTGGCACCACGATCACTTTGAAAAGCCTGTACTGGATACTCAGGAAACTGTGTTTGCATTAGCTTCAGCCAAGCAGAAATTTTCTGAAAAACTTCACCTTTAGTTCTTAGAAAGAAGGTGAATTTCAACCTAGAAAAATCATCCACCAAAATCAAAAAATATTTTGACCCGCCTACAGAAGTAGGATGAGGACCAGATACATCAATATGTATAAGCTCTAAGATCTTTTTTGAAACTCTAGCACTGTATTTTGCTATAGGAGCTTTTTAAAGATTTTTTGCTGCACAAATTTCACAATCTAGAAAATTCTTACATCCTTGAATAGGAATTTTATACAACTCAGCTGTTTGTCTTAGATACTGCCATGACAAATGACCCATTTTCCTGTGAAATTCATGAATACATTTGTCGTGTAATGGCCTGGGATTATCAGGTATCTGCTTAATGCAAGCTGACACATTTTTAGCAGACTTTAAAACAAAAAATCCCTTCTCTTGTCTCAGCTGTACTTCATTACCTTGAAAGTCAATTAACTTAGACTTATCCTTCTTCAAAGAAATCTCAAAATCTTCATCTAGAAGTTTGTTAACACTGAGAATATTATACATAATATTGGGTACATAGTACACATTCTCAAGAGTACATTTCAGACTGTCAATATAAAGATCACCACAAGAAAATACTTTAACTTTTCTATCATCAGCTAAAGAAATAAAGTTTATATCAGAGTCTCTCACATTTGTCAACAGTTCTTTAGTTTTTACCAAATGCTGAGAACAGCCTGAATCTATAATAAAAGAGTTCATTATATCCTTCTTCGAGGTCACCAGGAAAGCATGCTGTAAGTCCTTTGAAGAACTAGGTCTTTCCACTTGCTTGTTTCTCCATTGTCCTTGATTTTGTTTGCAATTCTTAGCATAATGCCCTTTCTTCTTACATTTAAAGCACACAATTTGCGATTTTGGCTTAGCAACACAAGCAGTGTCATTAGAAGCAGTCCCAGAACTTGAACTTTTCTGTATAGGAGCAAAACTCCTCAATTTGCGTTGAGCCTCAAATTCCATAATTTTTCCTGAAATAAAAGGTATCGTGAGATCCCTGTCAGGAATTCCATGAAGAGAGTCCATGAACGCATAAAAAGGGCGAGATAGAGATCCCATCAAGATTAACGCTTGTTGCTCAGGGGGAAAAATAATGTCTCTTGCTCTCAACTCCGAAAAAAGAGCCACAACTCTTGTAACATGAGTTTGAACTGGAGAGCCCTCCTCATGTTTGAGGTTAAACAGCTGCCTCATAAGAATTATCTTCGAACCGCTTGATTGTCTCTGAAACATATCTTTAAACAAATTCCACGCAGTTTGCGCATGCAGAATATTATGAAGATGCACCAACAAAGAATCTGACACAGACAATTGAAGAAGTGCCAAAGCTCTTTCATCTTTATGTTGATCCGCAGGAGTTAATTGAGCTGGCAAGTTCTCAATTATGTCCCATAAATTCTGAGAAACAAGAAAAGCTTTAAATCTGACGCTCCAACTGAGCCAGTTACTTTCAGAAAGTTTATCAAAAGGGAGTGAACCAACTTGAAGAGGCGGCAAAGCCATTGTGGTATTTCACTTTAAAGTCCCAAAAAGTCCAGAAACAAAAATACTCACTGCACCAAAAGAAGACCCCCAGTACACCCGGGTTTAAGCTCAGCCAATTTATATTCACTACTTCAAGTAAAATTGGCTTCTAGCAGTCCAATATCTTTGCAGTAATTCTCTGGAATCCAAACACAAACTGTTCTCTTCTTCTTTAGGCTTCTGAAACTTTTGTTGAAAACACCTCTGTGCAAGGCAAGACAGGAAAGCAACTTAGTTGGCCCTTGCTGCTCAGGCACGTAGAAGGCAAATTTTCCAACATAGCAAGCCATAAATCTTCTTGATTTCTCTGAAGGCAAATCCTCCAAGGTTTAGTGTACAGCAGCAAGCCATCACTTTAAACCTCACTGCTGATCAAAACAGCCAGGAACAGAAGATTCCAACAAAAAATGCCTTCAAAAACTTCTTAATGTTCCACCACATATTTACCTCAGACATGCGCATTATGCAGCGTTCTGGGCCCATAACCTGTTAGCAGAGTCTTGCTTTATTATAAATTCATAGTGGAAAACATCAAAAGTAAGAAAACAAACATCTTGCATCAGATATCAGACCCTAAACAAAACATTTAGAGTCCCAAACTCCAAAACGCCATAGCTTCTCCAAAAGCTCAAGGCTATAGCAATAGCAGAACGCTGAGGGACGCTGAAAGCTGCTGAAGGCTGCTGCTGGCTGCAGGCAGATGCAACACATTATAACCACAGTAATTAGATCCACCTGCACCCAATTAACCAAAACCACATCACAAGCATTTCAGCAATTAAAGATACAAACTTACTTATACATACATAACCCAAATACATACAATGAACAGATAAAATTTTGCACATTTTTACAGTTCTCCTGACATTTTAGAAGTATTTTCTGAAGGAGAGGTAGGGGAGGAGAAAAAGAAGCAAAAAGGGTAAAAGCTCTCAAATGCGTGTGCACCCCACCCACTGTACCTCAGGTCCCCAACTCCCAGTCAGTCCCATTAAATAAAAAGAATCAGAAAAATAAAGGAAAATAAAAAAATATTCAGCTGTGATGCCTAATAGAGTAAGAGGAGCCAAGATCGGTTCCTGCTTGCTTGGAACTGATCTTGGCTCCTCCTGCCCTATTAATTGCTACAGGTTTTCATACCAGGAGGGATCCTTACTGTTATGAGCTCCTGGAGGTACCGAAATAAAACAAATGCAGTGCACAAGTCTAATGGATACATGGGTCATAGTGTATCGGTCAGCATCCAATTGGGAAGTTTCATGCACCAACGTTGCTTTGGCCACCTTTTTTTTGAAGTGTGACCTTTCATGTTGCCCATCAAATTTTTCCAAACAGTTGGAAAAATTCCTCCATCACACCACTTGTTGTTGGCATCCTCACTGTATTTTTACTAAATTTGATGTGGATAAAGAAGAAAAAGACACAGATGTCATGTTGTTGGTTTTTTTTCTCATAACCTAAAACCTCCAAGATTATTTTTACATATCTGGATTAATACCCGCATTTGCATTGGACAGTAATATCAATTTGGGTTTCTTGAATTGTAATAGGGCCAGTACTATTCTCCATGTTATATTATTAAAGTGAAGTGAAAAAAAACCTGCTTAAAACAGTAGAATTGAATATAATAGATAAAGACATGTCAAAGAAGAGAGCAGATGACACAAAACTCTCACTAGAACAACAAAATGTGATAAGAGGGCTCTGGTGTCAGGGAGATCCACAGGCCTTTTGTTACATCCAGTTAATCCAATGATTCTTCCACCACCATTAAGGACTGTACAAAATTGTCCCCTGCAGCTCTTAATGAGTGGGGCGACTTGTGTTCTGTCACCCCCAAACCATATTTTGAAATGTGATTTGTGTCCATGCCAACTCTCATATGTCACACTTTGTCTTATTTTATCAAAAGGGTATGATTCACCGAGATCTGAAACCTGTCAACATTTTTTTAGATTCTGAAGATCATGTGAAAATTGGTGACTTTGGTTTGGCTACAGATCACCCAGCATATGCGGTAAGTCTCTTTGTTTAGCCTCCCATCTTTCACTCATCATAGCAATGTCACAGGTGACTCACAGACAGGGTATTTTTAGAAGTACTATTTTTTTAAAAAAAAATACATATGCAGTATAAAATACTTTAGTGGTGAGAATAAAACTAAAGCACTAAATGAATCATCTGGAACAATTAAAGAATTGCCCAAAGACTGTTTGTTAAAAGGATTTTTACCTGTTAGCAGAAGGAAACCAAAAAGCAGGCCAGTCTAGCCTTCTAAGGAAAATTAAATTGCAAAATTATAAACTATTTTGGAAATATCATTGCTAGATAACACTCTCACCTGTTATCTTCATAAGCACAATAAGGTAGGCTAGTTGGCACATAACCCTAACCCTAACCCATACCTGATGTACCACTTATTGCATAGATACTGGAACATTTTTCATTTTGAACCATTAAATATCTGAAACTTGGGTGCTTGTAACCAAGTTTTCTGGGGTTTCTTTTTCAGGCAGACACTAAACAAGAAGGAGCTTCAGATGATCTTTTGGGTAACAGTGATCCTTCTGGTATGTATAAAGAAGATTATTATTCCCTTCTGGTGCTTAAACAGAACAGCTATCAAAGAATATTGTCTGCACTAACATGATTACCTTCAGAAGCCAAAATCAGGATTCAGATATCACTTGGCCACTGAAAGTTGACCAGAATCTTTTTTTTTTAATTTCTAAGCTCATCCTGATTTCCAATGACTGATATTTAACTCCTGTATTTTCTCAATGTTTTTCAAGTATAAATTTTTAAAGACATTCCTGTCAATGCTCATACTTCTTATATATTTTGCCCTAGAGATTCAAACATTTCACCTGTTTTGAACATTAATGACTCCATTAACTGCTGCTATGGCCCCTTCTACATTGCCATATAATCCAGGTTAGCAAATTATCCACATTATCTGCTTTGAACTGAATTATATGAGTCTACACTGCCATATAATCTAATTCAAAGCAGATAATCTAGATTTTATATGGCAGTGTATAGGGGGCTTTCCAATCATTTCATGTTGATGACACACCTTTTAGACACGCATCATTTTGCACCACAGTAATTCAGTTTTACTAGCAAGCTGGAGGTTAAACCAACTCCTTATAAGAAATACAAACACATACATAAATAGCAATAGCAAAATGTATGGGGACACAACATATCTCAGTAAATCTTTCGTTTGTATTTTTTAAAAATATATGATTTATTGCTTATTTCACATGGACTCTGAGATTTCTCATTATGTTTGTGTGACACACCCACCTACCTACACATTGCAGCCAACGCACTAACATGTCACAACACACAGTTTAGAAAGTGATGCTCTATACAATTAGAACTCATATAATATTCCTTACTAGATATTTGCCTGTTTCTGCTCGAGTGTTCTCCAGTTTTTTCCCCTAGCCATTTTATTAGCACAGTGAAACTTCTGTGACCTTATGCATTCCTTGATTCTTGAAAATAGAACCTAAACTTGATGAGCTCCTTTAGCAGGATTCGCCAAGCTGCCGTATCTTCTAGTTATGGCTGTCCCAGCCCAGTTCCAACTTTAAATTGTCTCTATGTTTCAAATGTATAAATTTTTAACTGTATATGCTGTTTGTAAGTTATGCAGACAGCTCCATTGTGCCTCAAACACTATTTAAATCAGAATATTTTCAGGGACTTTGTAATCCTCAACATGGTTGTCCACCAGCCCGAAAGCATTTCATAGGGACACTCCTCATTCCTAGCAATTCTGTCTCAGCAACTCTAGCATTTGAATGCAATGGTACTTAAGTTACTTCAGCTTACCAGGCAAAACTTCCTACTTTTGATTCTAATAAACGCAGTTGGGAACATAACAAAAATGGTCTTGCAGTAAGAAACAAAGCAACAGCTTCATCTAACACTAATATGAGTGTGCTGAGAAACTTGAGTATGAAGAGTTGTGGCACACAGAATATTTAGTAATGACTGCTTGAATTCTAAAGGAAGATGTCACAGTATTTTAGATAGTATATGGGAATCAAACAGATGTTCATATCTTAGAAAGTGATGTGAGGGAGATGAGATAGAGCAGTGGTTCTCAACCTGGGGTCCCCAGATGTTTTTGGCCTACAACTCCCAGAAATCCCAGCCAGTTTACCAGCTGTTAGGATTTCTGGGAGTTGAAGGCCAAAAACATCTGGGGACCCCAGGTTGAGAACCACTGAGATAGAGGTAGTTTCATACATATTTGGAGAAATATCACCAGTTGGGCAACTGCATAAAACCAAGCTCACCAAATAACTCAGTTTTCAAGTTTAAAAATGAATAGTTTTTGCTCTGTTTCTCAATATTTCTTTAAAGTAATTGGTAACTAACATTGTTGTCAACAGGTAACTTAACAGGAATGGTTGGCACAGCTCTTTATGTGAGCCCAGAAGTCCAAGGAAATACTAAATCGACTTATAATCAGGTAAAAGTCCCTTTGGACATTATATTCCTCCCAAAGAAACTCTGTATTGTATCAAAATATTATTATACACTCTTAGAGTAGAATTTAATGCAAATAAGAGCCCTTAAAAAGGGATTTGTGGCATACACATTTCATGATTATGTACATATGCATCAGTCTTGCATATGTAAAGCAATGCAGACATGTAGAAAAATCACAGAATGTCTTTAACCTACACTTGTTGATAGATTCTGCAAGTTAGCTGGCATTGCCCCCCCCCCCCCCATGTGCGACGGGAAATTGCTGCCAATTGTGAGAGAAATAAGGTTGAACACCATGAAAGCCACTCACTATATGGCTACCAGCTTCCTCCCAGTAGACTTCAATCAAGGAAAAGATTTATGAGAACCACTACTTCTCTAAATGTTCCTCCAGCAACAGTAAGAATATCTCTGTGGGCAGCAAAATCAGGCAATTCCAACTGGATGGCCCCCCATGAGGGTCTTCCTCCAGGAGCAAAGCAGGAAGGGGCAACTTTGAAGTCCCTGAACATGCTCAGAAGTGGAGTTGGCAGATCAAAAGACAATCTGGCAAATGACACTACCTAGAAGAATCCTCCACCTTGTGCGACTGTGTAGCAGAAGAAACACCTGCATCTGTATGCTTACCCACAATGCCCTGCCTCATGCACAGAGGAAGAATTGTTTGAGGCTACAGACAATGCAGTTACTGTGGTCTGTTTTTGGTCTAAAACTATCCAGCAACTTGTGATCCCTTTATTTTATCAGTTTTAGATAAACTATTTTATCCAATTAAGATAAACTATATTATGCAATGCTTTTGACACACAAAATAAAAAAGTCTTGCACATGGGAACCCTTGGATCTCACCTAATTGCTACTTCAGACATCATTAATATACAAAAAGAGAATGGAAGCAAAATACTGCTTCAATGCTTCTGCTTCTTCAGTGCTTCTATATTTGCATTCTTGAGAATTCAGAAAAGCATTTCAGTAATGATTCTCAAAAGGCACCTAAGCTCATTTTGCAAGTGATAAAAGTGGTTGATGCCAATTTGGCAGAAATAAATAACTTTTATCTTTTTAAAAATAACTTCTTACTTCAATTGTCTTCTTTTAGAAAGTGGACCTCTTCAGTTTGGGGATAATATTCTTTGAGATGTCCTACCATCCATTGGCCACTGCATCTGAAAGGATCTTTGTCCTCAGTCAGTTAAGGAATGTATGTATAAAAGCATTATGATTTCTTGTCAGATGTTGTTTAGTAACAGAAACCCTCCCAAACCAGCAGTTCTAGAAGATTTATTTTGTGCATAAAACATTTTAGCTCATACAGAAATATATTTGTATATAAAACCACCTAAATCAGATCTTACAAATGACAGCCCAGGTCACTAAAATTTTCTTGAAAAGGGGTATATAAAGTACATATTTTTGTAATGGCTTTGGCATGTACTTAGGCCAAAAATATCATCAGCAGGTAGCATATGTATCGTTTAGAAAGTTACTTTCTTGGAATACAATTTCTTGAAATTGTGCTGCCAAAATTAATTTTTCATGCATTATTGGTATGGTGTGATAGTTCAGAAACTCACAAAATGTATATCAACTGACAGTGTTTTTGAAATGGGAACTTTGACAGTGATTAAATCTCTGTATTAAAATAAAATCTGTGAGACTTGTTTAAGATTCTCAAAATTATTGTTATGAAAGCCAATAAAACATTCTAGCTCTAGGGATCCAAATCTTCCATAGCTATGTCCATGACTGATTCTGATTTATTTTATTCTCAGCCTTTTATTGAATTTCCAAAAGACTTCGATGAAGTGAAAAACGCAAAGCAGGTATTTTTTATCTTTAACAGTTATTCTATCTTAAAAATGCAATTATTATTGTCCCATTCTTTGTTTCAAATTAATACATGCCTAAGTAATTACTGTAAGGCTCCTGAAACAAAAAAATTAACAGGAAATAGTACATTCCTAACATGAAAGCATGCAAATGTGAGTAGATCAATAGGTACCGCTCCGGTGGGAAGGTAACAGCGCTCCATGCGGTCATGCTGGCCACATGACCTTGGAGGTGTCTACAGACAACGCTGGCTCTTCGGCTTAGAAATGGAGATGAGCACCACACCCCAGAGTCAGACATGACTGGACTTAATGTCAGGGGACTACCTTTACCTTTACCTTTACCTTTAACATGGAAGTATTTTTAAGATATACTGAAATCCTCAGCAGGCTGTAGGTTTCTATAGCATGTTTCTGAAATATTATTTTATGCTGCCCTTTGGAGCAAATGGCAAATGAGATAGGCTGGTGTTAAAATTAAACAGATACTTTTATATTGGAAGGCAAAACCAATAAAAAGAAAATGCTTTGGTGGTTAAATTATACCTGTGTATTTTGGCTTGGTTTTTAGAAACTGGTTATTACCTGGCTGTTGAACCATGATCCCTCAAAACGACCAACTGCTATGGAGCTTTTAAAAAGTGAACATCTTCCACCTCCTCAGATGGAGGAGTCTGAGCTTCATGAAGTACTTCATCACACTTTAGCAAATGTGGATGGAAAAGCTTACCGGACAATGATGGGCCACATATTCTCACAGCGAATCTCTCCTGCAATAGATTATACATATGACAGTGATATCCTCAAGGTTTGTTCTATCTCCCTCTCTCTATATATATATTTAACAAATTACAGTTGTAGCATCTGTATGAGCATTTATAACTGGCTTGGTAATTCCGCAACCCAATTTATTGGAATAGCTTTGGATATTACAGAGACCTGAATGCTTTAGTTTAATAGCTCAGATTTGTGTGCGTAGACTCTCAAGAACAATGTGTGGGTGAATAAATTTGTTCTGGAATGCCTCATACCACTGACAATTGTGCAGGGACATATTTGGAGGAGAGGTGCTATGTTCCGGGAAGAGTAATAATATCTTGTAATAGCATCTTGTGGCACATGAAAGACTAGCAAAGGAGGGGGACTGAGGATATAAATGGCTGTAGATTTCAGTTCCCAGGTGAAGTAGATTGGAGTCCAGGAAAGCATATATCAGATAAAAATTTATCAAGGCTTCAGGATGCCACAAAAGACAAACTTATTTTCTAATAACAACGCAATGGATAATTGGACTGGACTAGACAAAATATGGCCCTTGCAGTGCATTCATTCAACCTCCCACCTGCCCAAGGGTGCATCTACACTGAATGAATACACTGTTTGTTGATTTGCTTCCTCACATTGTGGCAGTGGGAACATTTTCTTCTTTTTTTTCCTGTGTTGAGTCGAACTATTACTTATTTGCCTTTAGGGTAGCTTTCCAGTTCGGACAACCAAGATTCAACAGCATGTGTGTGAGACCATCAGCCGGATTTTTAAAAGACATGGTAGGTACATTTATATGATTTGATTGATTTGTTTGATTTCATATTTCTACCATCGTTTTCTTCTCCTTTGTGAAAGGTGGACTGCTGGAATGTGAGTACACCGATAATCTTCAAGATTTTTTAAAGTTCTTCTATAAGTCAGTAAATAAAAAAATGAACAATTTCTTTTATTAGTCACATATCACTGCCAAAATGTTTGTTGTGATCCTCAGTTTTCGCTCAGCAGATTGATTTTGTTAAGTTTACTGACTTATTCTTTACTTATTGTGAGTGGTAAGGTTGATGTCATCTCCAGGGCACACTGGCATTATTTTTGCATGGCTGTGTTGGGTGAACTATTCTAAACTAGTATCTAGATGCTTCTTGTGATTCCAAGAAAGTCAACACAAAGAGAATTAAAATGTTTAGCAAAATGTTCAAAAAACTGACTATTCCAGGAAATAACCCAAAACTTGTATTTATTTCATATCAAAAGATTTGCATAAATAAGTACAAAACTGATAAAAATAGAAGGAGTACAAGCAGCTAAATATTTTTTGACTGGCAACAGGCAACAACAACCACATAGTCTGTAGCTTTAAACAATTCTTCCTCTGTACATGAGGCAGGACTACCAAATAATCAACACAGAATGTTGTTGTTTGAAAAAATAGAATATTATGTGAAATAAATTGGTTTTCTGAAATTTCTTCAATAAATATTACTTTCCTGCTAGTACTATGGAATTAACTGTATTTCAACTTGCTTTGAACAGGGGCCATCAAGCTGCACACACCTTTACTAATGCCTAGGAACAGAAAACTGTATGAACACAGTGAAGTTTCATATTTGATGGATCACAGTGGCATGCTAGTGATGCTTCCTTATGATCTTAGAGTAAGTACAGGGACCTTAACAGTTCTGACTAAGCTTTCTTCTTTCCATTTTTGAGCTAGTCCAGAAATTCAGATAGGCACTAAACATGTATAATCTGACACCTTGTTTCCTTTAATTTATACAGGTTACTATATTTGCTAGAAAATAATTTATATAAAATATATTTTATTTGCATATTTTGCATTTATACTCAGCTTTTTAAATTTTTTATTTTTTCAGATTCCCTTTGCAAGATTTGTAGCTAGAAATAACATAACAAACATAAAAAGGTGAGTCAACCATCCAGGAAATATATTTCTCATTGTTGAAAACTTGATTGAGATGGAGTACCCACATGTTTATATTTTGTATCTTTTTTAAAAATTAAAACTGAAAAGCTCCCTGGCAGAGCATATTTTTGCATCATATAGTTCCTTCTATCAGCCATCTCCCTTTACAATGAATAACTCAAATTATAGGACTGGGAAGGATATTATTTAAGTCAGAGATGAGAAAGGTCTGGTCCTCTAGATGTCATTGGATATCAGCATGCTGTTTGTCATTTTAAAGTATATATGTTAAATTATTTTAATATAGCTAGTAGTTTGATTCTGTGCTTATAATGCGCTTTCTATGTTTTGAACTGTGTTATACTCAGTTTAATTTGCGAGTTGCCTTGCATTCCAGTTTGGAGGAACTGTGGGGTATAGATGAAGTTCATCATAATGGTCTTCCATCATGTCTGACCATTGGCTCAACTGGCTGTTGTTATTGGTAATTAGTAGGCATAGGCAATCCATGGTTCTCAATGGTTCTAAAGTACTTACAAAACTAAAGTTCTAGTGGTGAAAACTACGAGGCACTTGTGCTTTGCTTCTACAGTATTGTCAAAGTTCTGGTGGTGAAAATTTCAGAAGTCTAACAAAACTTTCAAAATTTCATTATAAATGGCAGTTCCTAATTGGGTCTATCATAAAAATTGCCAATGATGAAATAATAATGAAATTTTGGAAGTTTTGTTAGAGTTCGGAAATTCTCACCACTAGAACTTTAGTAACACTGTAGAAGCAAAGCGCCAGCGCCCCTAGTTTTCACCACCAGAACTTTAGTTTTGTAAGTATTTAGAACCATGGATTGCCCATGCCTAGTAATTAGAGTCCAACAAATTCACTACCTCTCATTTGGGACACAGAGCTTTCAAAAGCTACTTTTTGGATTGTATCTCCCTGAGGTATTATAGCTGGTATCATGCTATTGTTAAGCCCTTTGAAGTTTATAGGCCAATTGTGGGAGGCAGAACTGGGTTAGATGCACCAATCCCAACATTTTGGCCTCCAGGTGTTTTGAGCTTTACCTCCCACAATTCCTAACAGCTCATAAGCTGGCTGAGATTTCTGAGAGTTGAAGTCCAAAACACCTGAAGGCCCAAAGGTTGGGAACCACTGGTAGAGTGATTAATAAAATAAAAATGGATATATATGTATAAGTATTCACATCCTTCTACCCAGATATTGCATCGAGAGGGTTTTCAGGCCTCGGAAATTAGACCGATGTCATCCTCGAGAGCTCTTAGAATGTGCATTTGATATCATCACTCCTGCTGGCAACAGTTTTTTACCCATTGCGGAAACAATCTACACAATTTCTGAAATAATCCAAGAATTTCCTGTGTTGCAGGTAAATGTTTTTCATTTTCTGCCAAAGTTATATAGGTGTATAATATAAAAGAAGCAGCCCTTGCTCCTCCCTTTTACATAACATACTGTTTTTCTCAAATAATCTCAATACATCTATATGGCCTTCTTTAAAGGCTGTTAAAAGAGGAGTGGACAACACAAGTAACTAGACAAGGCATAGATGGAAATATTTCAGAATCACATGTATGTATGTTGTATATCAAATTTTATATGAATACATAAACTAAAGAACAGGATAAAACTGTGTGTGTAGGTATTCTGAAAATAATGTCTTCAAAGCTTATTTTTCACAAAGTCTTCTAATTTTTTGAAAGATGAAACTAGTGCAAAATGCAGCAACCAGACCAGTGTCAGTTATGCATTTTAGAGACCTTAGCCAGAACTGTATTAGAAATAGACATACATTACATGCCCCTTATGCATATGGATGTTCTTTCTCATGTGCTCTGGAGGTTGGTATTGTTTCCATCCAAACTCCCTACCCCAAACATATTGTACATTACTGATGCTACCTGTCCTGGCCATTCTTTGCTTTGTAGCAAGCAGATACACAGTGGTGATCTTCATAGTAAGATCTGTCAGGTCTTCTGGTCTCTAGTGTTACTGTAGTCATTGAGTCTCTAGCTATGGAGAGGTAGCCACATGCTTCTCTAGTTCTTCCTGTTTGTTGTGAAAAATAGAAATACTATGCAAGGTGGGTTTGGAGCTTTATTATAATTGGGGAGCAGGGTTTGAGTATCTTCTGGGGGATTTGCCATTGCTTCCCTCTGAAGCTGAGAAAGTGTGACTGGCTCAAATTCACCCAGTGGGTCCATGACTAAGTGGGGATTTGAACTCTGGTCTCCAGGGTCATAATCTAACATTTAAACCACTGCACCACACTTGCACCTATTGCTTTTTGAAAGAAGCAATTAATAATTTTTGCTGTTTTCCTGTACAGTTGTCAGATTTTATTTGCAGTTTGGTCCTTATGCAGCTCAAAATGTACACATAGTTTTTTGTTTTGTTTTTTGCAGAAGAAAGCATTTTCTGCATTAAAAAATGAGTACTTTGCAGAAATACTGTGTCCTGTATAGAAAATTCTATTCCCTGCACAGAAAATGTTTTCTATGCTACACAACCATGTATGCAATTTGCATAGTATAAATCCCAAACTATGACGATTCTCAGCACTCTGGGATTCTTTCCATCATGATTTCTTGACCCTCAAGAAACATGTATTTCAACCATTTTCTGGAATGTTTTTTTTAGTAGTCCACCTTTCATAGAGAAATCACATTGTTATGTAGTAGGAAGAGGTAAGTATTAGAAAACAGTTGAATTTTGAAACTTGAATCTTTGTCATTTAAACAGCAATTAAAATCAGTTCCAAACTCTTTTCCTATTAGGAAAGAAATTACAGTATTTTCTTGAATCACACTGCCTTACTGAAAGCTATCCTTGTGTATTGTGGAATCCCTGAAGATAAACTCAATCAGGTTTACACCATTCTTTATGATGCTGTGGTAAGACATTCATCTATTTAATAGTTACAGAAGAAAGGTACAAGATACACAAATCATTGCAGCACAGTTATTTCAGATATTTAAAGGGCCTAAAGACTAGTTGTTCGCCGTTCGCCAAGGCCACAAAGAGAAGTAGGAAAAGGACATGAATTCTGAAATGAAGTTCTTGTTTGCTATAATGTATAGCTAGAGATAGGCCCCCCTGATAGCGCAGTGGGTAAAACCGCTGAGCTGCTTAACTTGCTGACCAAAAGGTTGGCAGTTCAAATCCAGGGAATGGGGTGAATTCTCACTATTAGCCCCAACTTATGCCAACCTAGCAATTTGCAAACATGCAAATGTGAGTAGATCAATAGGTACCGCTTCTGCAGAAGGCAGTGGCGCTCCGTGCAGTCATGCTGGCCACATGACCTTGGAGGTATCTACGGACAACACTGGCTATTCAGCTTAAAAATGTAGATGAGCACCATCCCTCAGAGTTGGACACAACTAGACTTAATGTCAGGGGAAACCTTTACTTTACCGTATAACTAGAGATATCATTACGATATTCACAAATTAATTTAGTTTAACCATATATTTAAATCACAACATTAAAACAGAGAGCCAAATCTCCAACATGAAGGAACAGTATACAGTATATACAAGTTAGGTATCCCTTATCCGAAATGCTTGAGACCAGACATCTTCCATATTTTGCAACTTGAAATACCTGTATTTGCATATATATAATGAGATATCTTGCTTCTGGCTTGCTCGTGTGCCTTTATTAACTTTTTTGGGCATTCCTTCATCATTCTACAAGCAGTCTTGGATAATTTTAAGTTGAATATTGGGTAAAGCATCTATAACACAATTTAGAGATATCTAGGGCAGGGGGGGACAACGAATCCCACCGCTGCCACCAGTATAACGTAATTTAGAGGCTGACCCTATGTTAAATATGTCAATGACCGATGTTGCTTGGTAGGTATGACTGCCACCACCTCAGCTTCTATTGGCCTGAGGAACCAAAGGTGTGAATGTGTTGTAGGTAAGGTGTGTTTGAGCTCTTGGTTCACCTATTGCTTCTTCACTGGATGACTGGACCTTAAAATGGGTTTGACAGACTTGGTTCTGAGGAGATGGATAGACTGAGGCATACACCAGTTAAAAGTGAACTATGAAAGGTTTATTGATCTTTAAACAAATATCTACTCATATAATGAGCGGTACAGAAGCGTAATTCAGTTGAAGAGACTTAGTTACTTAAACAAGTAGTTCCACTGACAGTAAAGCTTTCATCAACTGTGAGATTCCTTAAACACACTGCTCTATCTTTAGACACAGTATCACTTGAGAACAGATCCCTATCTGTCTCTCCCACAGGGCAAATAAGCACTCTTATACTTTTCCTCAGTATAAACAGACAAGTCTTTCTGTTACTGATCCTATCAATACAGTAACCCTAGCCCTTGTCTGTCTGCTTATTCCCTATTCTAAAGGCTCACTTAAAACTTTCTTTCCCTGTCAGATCCCTACTGTAACTTTCTATCTTAACATTTCATCCTTCTGTGTCTGATGTCAAGACACTTCTCTCTCCCTGTCAAGAGCTGACAGCTTACCTCCCTCTCCCAACCGACTCCTCCCCCAATTGCCATACCCAATCAGGAGTCGGCTTGACTCCTCCTCCTGTCTCTGCCTGCCTTCCAAGATGACAGCTACTGTCATGCAGGCTTCGGCCTTGTCGTCTTAAAGGTAGATTCCACTACAGCATCCAACTACATTGAGGCAGTGGTGCAATAATATTTCCTAGATGCTATGATGAGGGTAGGGAGGTCCACACAAGTGTTGCTTGCTAGATCAGGTGCCACAGATATACATTCAATTTGCATCCGGATTGGGTCTTGCTTATTGGCCCTGCATCACTGTTGTTGTGATGAACATTTGTAGCAAGGGTACTGAAAACATTTTGCCTACACTCTGTATTCTGACACAAATTTCAACCTTTTTTGCTGAAAAATCATACATTATGGGATCATTCCTCTGACTCAACTGTATCTTTCAATAGAACTAGAACAGGAATGATCTCTCCCACTTACTCCAAATCTAATTTGATTTGGAACTGTTCGTGGAGTAATGGAGAAGGTAGAGAATTGGGTTCAGCTTAGTTCAAATCTTATGTGAAACTATAATAATTTCAAACATTTTTCCAAGGGCAGAGAAAGGAGTGTCAGGTCCCAGAGTGCAAACATACGTAATTGTGTATAATTGGTATACTGATTACACAGCCATTTTTTTTCTTGGTGTCTTGTTTTTAGGCCAGTTCCTGAGATTATTTGGGAAACTGATTCAGAAAATTGAATTGAATAGACCGCATCAGCTCTGGTCTAGTTTCTTAGATATGGTTATCATTAATTTGTATGGGCAAGCAGATGAAGATTGGTATATGTCATGTGTTCTGTATCTCAAAAACTAGAATTGATAAAGGGAAACTGCTGTCATTTTTCGAATCAGCACATCAAATATATCTAAAAATGGGTCTATAATTTGAGGCAACCAAAATGTGTGTTGGCCAGTGTTGTTCTATATCCAATGCGTACTTCAAGTCTGCCTGATTATATGAAATTTCAATAGTTATGAGTAATTAGATGTAAATTTAACTCTTGTAGAATGTATTTTTAAAATTGAGCTGGGAACATGGGACTATCTAACAATGTATAATGATCATTTATTTTGCTGCAGACCGAGAAGCTAACTAAAAGAGAAGTGGAAGCTAAATTCTGCAATATTTCTTTGTCATCCAATAGTGTAAGTAATTTCAAAGTATCTTACTTGGCTCGTTTATAGATGTCATTTATGTCCTATTCTTTAATCCTGAACAGTTTTAGGAAAGGTTAAGAAATAGACCCAATGTGTGTGTGGTTTTCTTTGATACACAATATTACAAATTTGCAAGAGGAGTTAACTATTTTGTGAAAGCTTACTAGACTTTTATATTTATTATCCCTGTTACTATCTTTATTGATAGTAATTATTGAATATGTATTTTTGCATTTAGACATCTCCAAAATATCTCATTGTATATATGTAATGAGACCCATATTTTGGATTCAAAATATCAGAAATATATTTGGTCCTAAGTATTTGGGACAAGAGATACTCAACAAGCTTTTCAAAGTACCCCCCCCCCCCAAAAAAAAATAACCATAATCTTCCTTAATGTATTTCAGCTGTAATGTAAAAGAAAAGCAGGAATACTTCAATATACATTTGCAGAATAATATTTTAGACATTAAATATGTTTTCTATGTATAAAAATGTGATTGAACAACCATTCGTACTTTTTGAGGTCCTGTTGAGAATCTGATCCTGTTATCATTACTGACTGCAAATTGGTATTGAACACTTGTAATTGATAAGCAGGTAACGGCAAGAGAATGGGACTAAAATGCCCCTGATTTCTAAACTCTTGCAACTATGATCAGCTCACAAGCCCTTCTGTTGTTTGATGGAAAGCAAAAGGGAAACCGTCTTTCCTGCTGATTTGGTTGAGTAAGAAAAAGTCCAACTCTTCTCCAGCAGCCAGACATAAATATACATAAACATAAATTGAATTTATATCACAGAAAGGGAGGACATCTAAAATCTGAGATAGACAATTAACACATAATTTTAAAAATCATTAAATTTAAACCACACCTTATAAACAATATAAAAGCATTCAAAAGCACACAGAAAGTAGAAATAGAGTACACCATTCTGAAGGAGGAGGATAGATAGACAGCATAGTCATTTCTAGGCTTGTGCGCAGATCTGTTTTAGCCATTTTCCTTCGGCCAATCCGGCTTCTTCAGCTTGGTCAGATGGCCATAATGGCAGGGGCCCAGCCATCATGGTTCCCTATCCATAACGGGACCATGTGGTAGCTGATCACGGCTCCTCCTCCTCTTTTGGGGAGCATGCTGTGTGCAAAGAGGCTGCCATGTGCTCCTCCTTGCACAGGGTTTCCTTGTGAACCTTGCCTGTTGATCCAATTGGAGTAGAAGAACGCCATGACGTGTTTTATGCAAACGATGTTTGCTTCCTTAACCTTGTTGCTGAAACTCAGGCTCCCTTTAAGGGAAAAAAGAAAAGGGTCCCAGGAATGGAAAGGGGAGCCTCTTAAGTTCCTCATTGCTACCAATGGGCTGGATCTAGCCGTATTTTTCAGCTGCGGAACAAAAACAGCTATCTGGCTACTCTCGCATTTTCGCAAAAACTGATATGGGGGTCTACTGGAATCTGGCCAGCAGAAACGGATCAAAGTTCAGCTAAAATGCACAAGCTTAGTCATTTCTATTGTTTGTCATATATACCTGAAATTTTGTACAACGGCTCATTCATCTTATGAAATGGACTGCAGTTCACAAAAGCTCATGCTATAATAAGCTATCTTGTTGGACTTTTCTACAATATTCTAATCATCAGAAACTTAATTGCTTTATTTTATTTCTAAAATGGAAGTTTTCCTTTTGGTTTTTGCCTTCAGTTCACATCTTCAATTTGGTGCAGTTCATACATACGTACCACATGTGTCAACCCTCTTGTCTTGCTTTTCAGCTTGTTCGACTCTACAGATTTATTGAGCAAAAAGGAGAACTGCAGGATCTAACCCCACTATTTAACACAATGTTAAAGCAGAAAACAGGAGTCACCGCGTTGGTAAAACTGGGCATGAAAGAGCTAGAAGAAACAGTGGGTTTATTAAAGAAGTTTGGCATAAAGTTACAGGTTTGTAAAATGGAATGGATTATACCACTAAATTAAGGTTGATTATGGAGCAAATCACTAAATCACAGCACAAGAATATCTTCAGCTTCAAACATCATTTAAAAAGCAGGCGCTTATGTTATGCCTTATAAATCTTATAAGTTTGCAAAGCATAGCAAATTTTGGGAAGCTTGGGGTATGAAACATTTTTTACACAAAAGATGTAGAGAACTTGAATTTGACAGATTAATTTTGATAAATTGTTTGCCAGTTGAAAAGATAATCTAAGGATTGCCAGATGAAGTGCTAGCCAGGAGATGGTAGTATGATGTTTTTTCAGGATTATGCTTTACTCAGGGAGTTGCAATTATACTTTTATTTTATTATGTGTTTTCTTTGCGTGCGTCTAAATTATTTTGTCCAGCTGTCTCCTATGACTAAGAATATAAAAAAGCTAAGCATTTTATCTTACAGGTATCAATAAACCTGGGACTGGTTTATAAAATACAGCAGCACAATGGTATTATATTTCAATTTATTGCCTATATTAAACGCCGACAAAGGATGGTAACTGACATTCTTGCTGCTGGTGGCAGATACGATCATCTAGTGAGTATACAGTTCCATAGCTTTTATGTTATGAAAAGACATAAGTGTTTGAAATAATAATAATAATAATAATAATTATTATTATTATTATTATTATTATTATAACTTAAATTTTATACACCACCTACACCTCCTCAAAGGGACTCGGGGTGGCTTACACATGGGACAAAATGTCCACTAAACATCAAAGCAAAACAATAAATTAAAACAAAAAACATGATTAAAATAAAAACAGATTTGAGATAATTGACATATCAGTTCTCTTTAATCAGAATAGAAATGGTTGCAAGTCTTGCTATTTAGATATGTTTGTGTAGTGTTTAAAAAAGAAGAAAACATGACAGTGTAACATACACAATACTAATTTACTAACCAATGGGCCTGAATTTTTAGATCTATATGGTAATAGTTAAAATTAGATAAAATACATGTAAAGAACTGGAAAAGAAGGTAGGAAGAACATTGGATAGTATGAGAAGACATGACTTGATGTTGGACAATAAGAGTGCGTTCTTTTCTGTTATAGGGGACATTTAGAACTTCCAAAACTTTAGACGATGTGTATAACAGTACTTGAGTTGAAGATACAGATGTAATCTATATAAATAAAAACGTAATGTTCATTTGTGGGATTAACATAACGCAAAAACCACTGGACGAATTGACAAAATTTGGACACAATACACCTATCAAGCCGACGAGTGACCATCATTCATAAAAACACTGAAAAACACAGCAGAAGAGACTTAAAAAGCCAAAAAACAAAAATTGCAATGTATGCACAAAACCACATATATGCAAACACACATATATACACATATAAACAAATACACACACATACATAAACAAACTGGGCCACAGCAACAGATGGCAGGGGACTTCTAGTAATTATAATAAATATAAGGTTTCTCTTACACTCAATCCCCTTCCCCTTCCCTGGTAGATATTTATATAGTTCTAACCTAACTAGAGCTCCATAACCCTCATTGCCTTCTTTGATCTCCTTTTTTCTTTGTGTGATATTTTTTCTTTTTCTTTTGAAATGCATAATAAAAATGTATGGGGAAAATAATAATAATAATAATAATAATAATAATAATAATAATTCAGTAATTTATCCCCTGGCATCTGAACTTGTGAAAATAAAAATAAATAACTCTGAAAAACAAAAAAAGGTATAAGTGTCAATGTGTCTCTAATGTACCTCTGGCTTTTCTCTCCTCAGATTCCACAGTTCAGAGGCCCCCAAGCCGTTGGTCCAGTGCCTTCAGCTGTTGGTGTCAGCATAGCTATAGACAGAATTAGTTCAGCCGTTTTGAATATGGAAGAACCTGTACGTTTGCCGTTCTGTTTTTACACATTTGATGATATTATTCTTATTCCTTTGATCCCACTTTACCTCTCTAAGAAGAGACCCACATTATTTTCTGTGACTTTAGTTAAAAAACTGCATAAAATTAGAAAATACAGATTTCTCTTAGTCTTTCTAAATTAAAAGCAAGCAGAAAACAATGAGAGTGTTAATTCTCATTATTTTTGTCACCAGAGTAAAAATCATAGACTAAAATGATAAAGGGTCTGGAGAACAAGCCCTATGAGGAGCGGCTTAAGGAACTGGGCATGTTTAGCCTGAAGAAGAGAAGGCTGAGAGGGGATATGATAGCCATGTATAAATATGTGAGAGGAAGCCACGGGGAGGAGGGAGCAAGCTTGTTTTCTGCTTCTCTGGAACTAGGACGCGGAACAACGGCTTCAAACTACAAGAGAAGAGATTCCATCTGAACATGAGGAAGAACTTCCTGACTGTGAGAGCCATTCAGCAGTGGAACTTTCTGCCCCGGAGTGTGGTGGAGGCTCCTTCTTTGGAAGCTTTTAAACATAGGCTGGATGGCCATCTGTCAGGGGTGATTTGAATGCAATATTCCTGCTTCTTGGCAGGGGGTTGGACTGGATGGCCCATGAGGTCTCTTCCAACTCTTTGATTCTATGATTCTATGAAATGTGAACAGGAGAACACCTGGCTCATTTGAAGTACCTAAAATAGAAATTCACGTACTAGAATACACCATTGATCAGTGGAATTTATATTATTTTCGGGATTGGATTTAATTCAAAGTAGAGTCAGAGTACACCACAGAATTTCATGTTACTGCATTCAACAAAAGTTGCTAGATCTAACTCTAGTTGATAATAGAAATTGGATTTGGGACAGAATGTTTTTTGGGAGAGGGCTGAAAATGCTTTTCTTCATATAAGTCTAAACCAGTCATGGGCAAACTTTGGCCCTCCAGGTGTTTTGGACTTCAACTCCCACAGTTCCTAACTGCCAGTAGCAGAATTGTGGCAATTAAAATCCAAAACACTGGGAGGGCCAAAGTTTTCCCATTCCTGGTCTAAACCAAACTCCTTTTCGGATTGGTTTGTGGGTTCCACCTCCTGCCATAGTAGCATTTGTTTAACAACATCTTTCATGGAACTCAAAGGATACTTTATCATTACTGACCAATAATATGAAGAGTATTGAGCAAGCCAGAGGGCAAGATTCTCTGCTATTCCACTTTAATAAATTCCAGAAATCTGGATCAGGCAACTCCTGAAACCTGCTGCCCTGCCTCCACATATGCAGTTTTTATTTTTCCAGATTTGATTTAAAATCTTCTCTCTGGGAATCTCTAGATCCTGCAGTATAGTTCTTGTGGTCAGCCTCAGTCATGCTGGAGAATTTAGAGATTATTTCTAGAGAGAACACATCTTTAGGTATCTCAGGTCCACCAAAGGAATTTTGTGGCCATCTTCCAGTTAAAGTTTTTCATGAGGTCATGCTGGAGAAGTTTTATTTTGGGTAAATTTCTTTATTTGAAGTGTTTCACTTTCATGGTTGCTCCATGCCCTTGACTTTAGTGAATGCAGAGAGTTGACTGTCATCTGTGATTTGTTTTCCTATTATTTTCCAGGTTACAGTGAGCTCTTGTGATCTGTTGGTTGTTAGTGTTGGTCAGACATCAATGGCAAGAGCTATTAACATTGTCCAGAAACTCTGGGCGGCAGGAGTGGCTGCTGAAATTATGTATGACTGGTCCCAAGTAAGTTTTTTCTCTGATTCTTAAATTGTTCATAAGCTTAATGTATGTTTTTCTTGCTAACTAGGAAATTATGGAAGTTGTAAATGAAATTTCAAAACCTTAGGCTAGCCTTGAGGATCGGGGACATGTCCCTCATCTCACGGTAATTTTGGACTATCATTTCAACTCTTTAATAGTTTGAGGTTAAAACCTGGAATCTTTGCTTCAGTTGGAAAAACACTAAAGGGGACCAAAGTGCATGTGTCGCCTTACCATCTTACACACCTACCTACATACTTACTTGTCCAGGCATGTAAAGAGTGAAATAAATAACTTCATAGAGTTCAGCAGTCACTTGCCTACTACCTAAAACTGGTGTTTGGAGAATAAATTGGTGGCAGAATAAATTGCCTAAGGGTGCAACTGCACTGTAGAATTAATGCTGTTTAACACCACCTTAATTTTAATTGAGACATACTATGGAGTCCTGGGATTCGTAGCTTGGTGTGGATGCACCATTAGTCTTTGTCTGAAAAGTCTAAAGACTTTGTGACTGCATTTACAAAAATATTATATATCTTTTCTAAAGTGGATTTCATAAATCTTCCTGTAGAGAAATCAGGGTGGCATGCATTGTTCTCCCCTTACCTGTACAAAAACCCTAAAAGATAGGTCAGGCAAGGACAGCAACTGATCTAAATAGATTTTGTGCTTAGCAGAGACTTGAACTCATCCCTTCCCCCAAGTCTGTACTGGTTTTATATGGGTCTTTTTAGTCCTTTTTAGAATATGGACAGTAATTTATTAACTTAATTTTCACATTTTGCTCTACCTAATTTATAATTGTTTTAGTCCCAGGAAGAATTACAGGAATATTGCAGGTGTTCGGGGATCACTTATGCAGCCCTCATCTCTGATAAAGAAGGAAATCATGTGAAGGTAATATGTTTGAGCTGTATGTTTCCACACCTTGCTTTGATAGTTCCCACTTCCAAGTACTGTGGCACTTTGTCAAAGCATGGTCTACAACATATATGAGGAAACTTCGACCCTCCAAGTATTTTAGACTTCAGGTCCTACAATTCCTAACACCCTACTGTTAGGAATTGTGGGAGTTGAAGTACAAAACACCTGGAGGGCCGAAGTTTGTCCATGCCTGGTCTACAAGCACTTACTCCACCTGCCTTTTATGATGGGAGACAGATGAACTGTAGTATATTCAATAAATAAATGCCACTAAATGAATATTTTTAAAGCAACCTTCATTTTCTTTTAAAAACAATACATAAATTGTCTAAACTATATTTTTGTAAAAGCGCTAAAGGGTCGGGTAGCAGGATGGTGCCAACTTAATGGAATTCTGTTTGTACAGTGGAGCTGTCTCACCCTCAATATTCTTACTGAAACCTGCACTTCCCCTCAAAAACTGGCTATTGAAGGTGAGGGAAGTGTATGGTAGGTAGCTGCAGTGTTGTGGGAACTAAATGTTGTTATTATAAGGGATTTTCTGGTTCCAAACAATTGTGTGGTTATTGGTTGGGTTTTTTAAAATTCTTTATATACTAAGTTGGTAAATAGTCTGCATTTTGTCATTCCTGAGTGTTTGGGTATGTGGGGAAAAGGGAGGTTGAACGTAAATAGTATTGTAAGAAGCAATTCTTTCTTTCCCATATATCTAATATACACAAAAAGGAAAAGTATGTTAAGGAGTACTATGCAAACACTTTGATTACAGTAAAAGGTCTTGCAAGATAAGAGATTGCCTCTTACATTCTCATGTATCAGATGAATGATATGCTGTGTAAAAGAAAAAAAATTGTCTCATTTGAACTTATCTCTCATTTTTTAATTCTTTACTCAATCTTTTTTTTAAAAAAACTGGTAGCAATGTAAGGATTATTAATTCACTTTGTGTACTGTTTTGTAGGTAAAATCATTTGAGAAGGAAAGACAGGCAGAAAAAAGAATTTTGGAGTCTGATTTAGTGGACCATCTAGCTCAAAAACTGAGGACCAAATTATGTGATGAAAGAAGTAACAGGTGAGTTATGCATGAAGTAACCTCAACAATAGAATAGAATAGTAATAATATTTTGTCATAAAATGTATATTTTGTTGTTAACTTCTAACTTCTAAACACTGGCATTCCTTTGAGCTGGTGAAGTTTATCCAGTCAATCCAGTCAGGGAGATAGGTTTTTTGATGGAAGTAGAACCCAGACTGGGTGCCTTTCCTGTTGTCTGGAGCTGTTTTTGATGGGCTGTAGGGAACAGCAGAAGAACATTCTGCAACATTATTTTGTCCTATGAAATGTGTCCCACACAACCATTTATTCCTTTTTTTTAACTTAGCTTCACATTGGGTCCAATACGTTTCCTTAAAATTCTCTTGCCCAGTCAAATTATTTTGCCTAGAAGTATCAAGGTGCAGAAACACTACAAGAGTCAGAGGAAAGTGAGAGATTAAATTTCATTGTTCAGGTTTTCTGAAAAAAATAAGCTGATATCCTGCTTCAGGCTGATATAGAGCACCATCATCATCACCGCTGTATCTCTTAAGTGTGCCTCTCTAAAACATAATCTAGAGACAAAGCTACTCCACCAATATATGCATTTTTGAGGCACTGAGAAGTGGAGTAGAAGGCAAATAAATGTCCAGCCTTCTGGCAATGAGCTGCTTCACAAGACTACCTGTTGCAAAGTCCTTTAAAACCAGGAGATGTTTGAAACACTCTGAAAATCCTGTGTTGGTGAGACAGGCTGGCTTCTGAGATAGATTGGGGACAGGACATTTTGGTTGTTGCAATGGTGCAATGGGAATAATGGTGAATTTCAAAAGCCATACATTTTTATAGGATCTTGTTAATGCTAAACAGGATGCCAGGTCAACTGAATGCCCATGCCTTAACGATAGTAAGCTCAGGTCTTCCATAATGTAGCTTGTTGGTTGCTCGAAGCAAGTGCTTCATGATGAATCAAATAGTGTGGAAATCAGATCTTTAAATGGCTTTATGATGTGACTTGGGCAAGTAGGATCCACTTTCAGGAGATGATTCTGGGAACTGCCATATAAGGGAATTTGGAGGTAGTCATCAGGCATCTATTACCAAGAAACTTCTACAATGTGTTTTACTGATCACCTATGGTTCAGGCTTTTTTTTTTTTTTACATTTTTCATGTAAAGATTTTTCCCTTTTGAATGACTTCTTCACCTGTCTTATTGTTTGGTTTTTCTAGAGAAACATCTGATAATCTGCCAGTACAAAATCTGAAAGGATCATTTTCTAGTACTTCAGGTATGTGAGTGCTTGATTTTGGGATCACCGCATAGCAGAGATAGGAGGCATCCATGTTTTCCATTAAAATGTTTCCAATGCTAGTAGAAAAATTATCACACCACATACATATTTATTCATGGTTGTTTCAGCTATTACACTGCAATTGTTCATGTTAAATGGACTAAACATAGGATATGAATTTTTAGTTATACTTCCAAGGAAACAAGCATTCATAAGCACTAGTTCTCAGAAAAATAGGCAAACAAATGAGTTCTAAGCTTGCTCCTCATTCAGTCCCAAGTACAAGTAGTCAACACAAAATATGATACCTGACCAGTGCCCACAGGTTTGCAGCCATTCTAGTGAAGTAGAATCTTCAACTAATAGTACTAAATCAGTTTGAAATAGAACTAGTGGTGTGTGAAGTGAGTGAAGTTGAATGTGCTCCCGTTATGTTATAGTAAAAAAAAAAAAAAAGGTTGATATGAGCTATATCAGGTACTGCTCAGTTTAGGTGTATGTCCTTAAAAGAATACTCCTTCAATAGAAGAGAAAGATATCCTATTCTGTTTATATTATTATAAACGTTCCAATGTCAGAACATATCTCCCTCTATGAGCCATCACAGAGGTTAAGGTCTTCTGGGGAGGCTCTGCTCTTAGTCCCACCTTCATCACAAGTGCGCTTGGCCGGGACGGGAGACAGGGCCTTCTCAGTGGCGGCTCCTTGGCTCCAGAACTCCCTCCCCAGCAAGTGTCCTCCCTCCTGACCTTTAGAAAGAGAACAGAGACATGACTGTGGGATCAAGCCTTTGACTAGTAAAATAATGCAGTACAAAGAATAATGAAGGAACTGTCAATGCTAACAGGAACGTGTACAATGACAATCGGAATGGCTATGGCATACGATTTCTGGATCATGTGATTTTAATATTTATGCTAGGATGATTTTAATGCTTTGTCTGAATGTTTAAATTTTGTTTATGTCTTATGTTTAATGATTTAATTATTTTAAGTCTTAAGTTATATGTAGGTCCAGCTGAAGTATATTCTGCAGAGTACATAGTAAACTGCAGATTTGTGTAAATGGGAAGCATTCAGAAACCTTTTTACTGCTGCCAGATTTTTTGCAACCCAACATTGAGCTAATGGTCCACCGTTTGGGGACAGTTTAAGAAGCAGTGTTTTAGAGCACTGATTTTGTAAAAAAAAAAAATTCTAGAAAAAAATATTTTCTGGAAACCCTATCTTTATCTAGCAGTGCGCATTAAACATTAATGTGCACGGTAGCAGAGTTTTCTCACTAAAATGTGTAATTTTAAAATGTTAGCCTTAGGAGAGGGGTGGGGTGGGAAAGCGAAATCTCTAACTCAGTCTTTATGCTGTTTTAGGCCTATTTGAGTCACATGGAACTGTTACAATGCCAAATATCTGTATTGTTCCACCGGAAAAGTTATCTGCAAGTGCTAGACGTCGTTATGAAATTCAGGTATTGTAGTCTCAGCTTTGTTCTCAGTAACTACATTCTAATAGTTTCCCTCAACAGAAACACTATACACATTGGGGAAAACAGAAGGGGTAATAGGAAACTCCCTTACACTGAATCAAGCCATGTGGCTATCAGTTATTGCCTACATTCGAGGAATTGTGCAGTCCTCCAAATGTTGAAATGCAGCTCTGTCCTACATCATTAGCTATGCTTGCTAAGGCTAGCTAGAGATGCAGTTCAATAATGATTGTACTTCTCAGTCTTTGTCTACATCAGGCATGGGCAAACTTTGGCCCTCAAGGTGTTTTGGACTTCAACTCCCAGTTTACCAGCTGTTAAGAATTGTGAGAGTTTAAGTTAATGTATTTTCCTCCTTTGGGTACTTAAAATTGGGTTGTGGCTTCTGTACAGTGAGACTTTATGGTGAGAGAAATCACCTTCAAGCTGCTCATACCACCTGTCTCGCTTCTCCGACCAGCTGAGGTGATCAAGAGTTGTTATTAAGTCCTTAAATCAAGGGGAAGAAACACTATGGCCCACTAGATGTATTTGCATGGCAACTCTTCTCCCTCTTCATTGGCTGTGCTACCTGTCAGGAGTGATAGGCCAAAATCATCTTACTAAGAAGCCTTAGCCCATCCTGATTTTATGCATTAAAACCTTTGATGGTTAATGTGTCAGTGCATATGACATGCACATTAAATGCATTCACACATATTACATTTTCCACGAGTCTGATATACAAATGAGGGTGTCATCTTTCCTGACACTCTCCCAGTTTAAATCAACTGCTTTGCAAAATACTCAGTGTTTTAGTGGTTTCAGAGTAAAAGTTAATCGAGGGAATTATGTTTAGATTAAAAGAATTATACCTCACACTTCCATAAAATTCTCAAGGTAACTTGCAAAATTACAGCTGTTTCTGACTTCTCTCCATGTTTCTTCTTCTTTTTCTCAGAACTGTCAGGATTATTTCCTAATCTAGAATGGTTATACAACTAGGCCCATGTTCAAAGACATAAAATTCTACATGAAAAATACATCTTGTGGGTGTTAACATAAAGCCAATGTGTCCAATTGGCCTTCCATGTTTGCAGATTTGATTATTCACAGACTTGATTAAAATGTACTCTAGAAATCTCTGGATACTCCAGTGTGGTGCTGTGGTCAACTTCTGCTGCAAATTGATCATTGAGTCATGATGGAGAACCTAGAGATTTCTAGAAAACTCTCTAGAACTATTTAGATCCTTTAGTACAATTCTACTTCCATCTGAAGCTGACCATTCAGTCATGCCCAAGGGCATAGATACTCCCAAGAACTGTGTTCTGTCAGGTAAAAAATAGATTGTTTGAAATGTTTCATTTTTGCTGTGGTTCTGCACTTCTAAGCCTAGCAAATGTGGTAGCAATAATTCAGCACACCTAGTCATTATGGTCATAGTTTTAGGGCAATCCTCCCAATGCACACAGAGTTTTTTAGGTCCAGGGTACATCCATCCAGGAAAGAGGCAACCTGGTGTTCCCATCCCATATTGACTTTTTTAGCCAAGGGAAGTGAAATGTGGTACCCACTTGGGGATAGTGCTTGGACATTGCAGAAGGATTTCTTCTTATGACCCATAACCTAAATTAGGCACGCATCTATCCTTAAAAGGCTTGTAGCCCTTATATTTTTACTACATAGAGATTTTAATTTAGCTTTTTTTTTCTACAAAAGCCTCTTTTAATGTGTGAATGACTCAGAGAAGGAGAAACTATTTGGGAGTTTGAGATTTGACAGGATTGCTTGCTCTTAATTTGAAAACAAAACTTCATCTTGTGTGCTTTATTTTGAACTGAAATGTAATTTTTCAGGTGCAAACTAAACTCCAAACCTGCTTTGCTACTCTGCAACTGAAGACAAGTGAAGTCGAAATTTTAGCAGTAAGTTTCTTTGTTTAATAGAAGGATAACAGGGGCCAACATGGTTATTTCTGAATAAAGTAGCTTTAGCAATATAAAAATGGAACATCCTTCCAGAGCAGAAAAGCATGCATTCTTTGACAAGAACAAATTGCCCTGAAGAAAAGAATGTTTTCCAAATCTTAATTCTTGCTAAAGCATGAAATTGAGAGAAAGTGGTTGTGTATGCATTGGATTCTGAGGATTATTTTAAAGTCAATTTCAATACCTCCTTATTTCAAACAGTGGTTGCAAATTTTCAACAGCTAATTCCAGGAATGGTATTAGGACTTATTTTATCTGCACTGACACACCTTTCACAGCCACCACTACAGACTTAAGATCCATGCGGTTTTGTAACTCCCCATCCGGGTTCACAATAGCTGCATCTGAAGGCATTCAGTTAGAAAACACTCTAACAACTACCATGTCAGACTACACAGAGAAGCTATAATACACAAACATATGGACAATTTCAACAGAAAGGAGGAAACCATGAAAATAAACTAAATCTGGCTACCAGTATTTAAAAACTCTAAAATCAGGACAGTAAAGAAAGAACAGCACTCGGAAAACAGGGGAATTCCAGACAAGAAACAATCAGGGCCAGCTAACACCTCCCAACAAAGGATTCCCCCAGGCAGGAAGCAGCCAAGCCTTGAAGCTGCAAGGCTATTCAGTGCTAATCAAAGTAACTAATTCCAGCATTCACACTTGCCTCAAACAGAAAAGAGTTCTTTCTCTCCCCCCCCCCCCCCCCCCCCCCCCCCCCGGACATTACAGATATGTAAACTCCACTTACCTTGTTTTTAACAAACCTCACAACCTCACAAAGGATGCCTGGTGAAATATTAGGAGAGAACGCTTCTGGAACATGGCCACACAATTGGAAAACACACAGCAACCCAGTGATTCCAGCCATGAAAGCCTTCGACAACACATCAAAAAAAAAATAGTTTTTCAGAACTGTCACGCAGCACATTCACCTTATGAATGATCACTCTCTGTTACAACATTTTTTTTCCAAATGTGTCAAGCTCTGATTCTCTCTTGCTCTTTCTGTGAAAATGAGAATTGCTGGAGCTGCATGGTATTGCTTTGGCTTTTAAGGTCCCTAAAGTTTTCTCGGGGATCCTGAAAATATCATCCACTTCCTCCAAATGCTTGACAACAGCAGGGAAGTCCAGCACTTTTTCATTTTGGTTATGAATACAAACACTTGGAGTTGAAATGTTTGAGTGATTTCCAGTTTTCCCTTTCTTTTTTATATTTGCTTTTGATATGGTCTTTGTATTATAATCTTCATTTTATATAATAGAGAAATATAGTTATTTGGCAGTTTTAAGTGCATAATAAATCTAAAGGAAATGAGAAGTGTACAATCTGAATTATTCTAATGTTTGAAGAGTTAATGTTTCAGAGCAGTTTATGATATGGACTGAATGAAAGTCACAAATGGAACCTGCTTCTCAAACATATCCTCAATTTAAAGATATAATGACTTAATACTTTGTTTGTGGTTTTTTTTTCAGGTAGATCTTCCCAAAGAAACCATAATACACTTTTTATCTTTAGAGGTAAAATTATCTGTTTCTAATCTACTTGTTAGCATGGATCATAGAACCATAGAGTTGGGACCATCCAGTTCGACCTTCTGCCATACAGGAAAATATGATCAAAACACTCCCAACAGACAGCCATCCAGGCTTTCTGAGGAGACTCCACCTAAACAGCTATTACCATTGGGAAGTTCTTTCTAATTTTTAGGCAATTTGAATTATTATTCTGTGTCCTAATCTCTAGAGCAGCATAAAAAATTTTCCCCTCCTCAATGTGACATCCTTTCAGATATGTAAACATGGTTATCATGTCCCCACTCAGTAGCTCCTTAACAAATACAGGCATTACAGAACGGCTCAATTCTAATTCCTGCAGACATAAGTCCACTTGTGAAGATATAAGCCCTAAACAGGACTGCAGCCATTATTCCCCCTTACTTGTCCTACCTTCTTCAAATTGTCTGCCGGAAGAGATGCAGACTGTGTGTGTTTAGGGCCAGGCCTGGTTGAAGAATATGTAAATCAAAACACTCCAAATAGACAGCAGAAACTTTAATTTAATAGTTCCTTCCCTTTTTCAGTGTGATGAAGATGAACAGACATTCTATACAACTGTGAAACAACTGATGTCACGATTACCAAAGCAACGCTACCTTAAATTAGTTTGTGATGAAATCTACAATATCAAAATCGAAAAAAAGTAAGATAATAAATGCATGATATGTAGCTAAATATACTCAACATTCAATGTTTTTTTTTCAAATATTAAGGTAGGGATAGACAGCATAGGGCAGTCATTTCAAGCAAGTTTTGAGTTGGGTGAGGATTATCCAGTTACAGGACTGGTAATTGGAAGGCTAGCAAAGCCACACTAACCCCGAGATACTTTTGAATGGTATACCTGCTCCCCCCCCCCCCCCAAATCTCCCCACTGGGAAGTATAGGGAATTTTACCATGTTGTGACTTTTTTTAAAAAAAGGTCTATCCTGGATGTATTGATGAGAGTTATGTGGGCGATGGGCAGCTTTAGGAAAAGCAGCAGACCTCTACCCTGGATTGACCCAGGGGACCTGCAAAATGTGGTGGGAATGCAGCCCATGTAGATGGTAGATATTTTGGAGAAATGCTGTATTTGACCACTGGGCACGGGGGTCCAGACATGGTAGAAATGCCCTTCACACCACTTGGAGGAACCCAGAAACAAATGATACATTGATCCTGATGCAGCCCACACTTTGCCCACCTCTGGTCTTAGGCTTGAATTATTAGTGGCATCCTTTCAATTATGTGGTATTTTGATAAGGGCTGCAATCTCAGAGCCACTAAGACTGTATTCTGACAGTAGAATGCATCTATACAGTGGAACCTCACTTAAGAGCATTTTGAGTTCAGAGCCATCACTCGGCTGTAGTTTCACTTTGACCTAAGAGCAACATTTTGAGCTAAGAGCTATTGCCAGAGGGAGTGCTAGCACAAGAGTAGAGGGGTTTAGGGCTTCAAGGGAGCAGCCTCCGTGCCTCATGCTCTTGTCCGCTTTGGGAGATTGCCATCTACTCTGCTCTTGTCAGCTTTGAAGAACTTTGGGTTAATTTATTTTGTGTGGTTTTTATTCCTGGTATGTTTGGCTTCATAAAGAGAGAGAGAGAGCAAGAGAGGGAGGGAGGCTGGAATGAGTACAATATGAAGAAAATGATGCTTCTGCCTCTTCACTTTGTGCTGTGTGCTTCCTTGCCCCAACTTTCTGTTTCTACCATTTAAAAGTTGTTCTTTCTTTTTTATTGTTCCACATAAATGTGCATTTATACATTATTTGTTATTTATAAAGTACATTTTCTTATTTAAAAACATGTAACGAAAGAAATTTGGGGGGATTTGGCGAGCCAGAACAGATAAACAGCATTTCAATCGGTAAATTTGCTGTGAGATAGGAGCAATTTGAGTTAAGATCTCAGTCACGGAACAAATTAATGAATGGCTAGTGCATGTAGATATAATTCCTTGGGCACAAATTGTTCAGGATTAAAATCTGAAGAACTGCAACATTTCTGTTAAACAATTGAATGTAAAACTCTGCTTTCTCTGTAACAAGTCCCAGTTATAGAATATTCTAAATGGCTGAAGTCTCTAATGTTATCTGTTTCTTTTTGTCCCCTAGAGTGCCTGTGCTTGTCCTCTATAGTTACCGAGATGACTACTACAAAATTATATTTTAGTTATGAATGTTTAATAGAAATAAAAGTTAGAGTGATAGTGTTCTGTCTGGAAACAAATATACATGTTTCCAGCTAAGTTAATGTGAAGGAACATTTGCACATTTTTGTACTGTGAAAAATTCTTAAGTGCTAGTGCCAAGAGCAAGATGGCTCTGGCTTGTGTGCCTCTTTGTAAGGTACCTGCCTTTCTTTAAAGCTGTAAATTTAAAGCTGCAATATATTGTACAGTAGCCTTTTTTCAAAAAAATAAAAATAAAGTTTTACTATGATGCCTGTTTGCAGCTGTCATTGTCTAAACAAAGAACAGAGATTAGAAGTGTTTGATTCTAAAAGGTCAGCAAGCATAGTACAAAACAAGATTTTCTCGCCACAACACAAAGCCTCCATCCCCAAATAATTGGGAAAAATACAAATCTTTTGAGATTTGAGAGAATGCTTCTGGAACATGGCCATACAGCCCAAAAACACACACAACAACCTAATTTTTAAATGGTAAATCTTTGCAAGTTACAGAAGTCACTCTTCTTTGTCATTCTGTCTCTGGTTACACAGAATAAACCCATATGACTCCGCTGAGTGGATAAATCTGAACAAGGCAGATACTTATTTTTCAGGAGTTGAAACACTCTCTACTGTGAGAGCCATGTAAGAAAACAGATGGGTAAAAGCAATGTCAGTTTCATTTTGAGAAGGAAGAGAAGACCAAGTAAAGATGCTTTTTTGTATAGCAAAAAAAGGAGAAATGATACACTAAACAAATGGTTAAATGCAGAGTAGGGCTAAATATTTTGCAGGGCTAAACCCGCTTGGAAAACAGGCCTCAAATACCCTCCAGCAGATATTGGGGAGAGCATTGTTATGTTAAGCATTTTTTATATTAAACTTCTATTATTGCCTGGATAAGACAGGATAGGCAGATGATACATCTTATCTGTATCTTCAATTTTTATCTTTCTGCAACTGAACAACAAAGCACCATTCATTCTGGTTAAGGTACCTGCCTTTTAGTATTTTAAACTACAAGTTGCACATCCTTTATTTCAAATACATGGGACCAAAAGTGGTTTGCATTTCAATTTTTTTAATATCTGTATTTACATAAACATACATAAGATGTTCTGGAGATTAAGCCCAGGTCAAAATATGAAATTTGTATGTTTCATATACACTTGATACATAAAATGTGAAGGTAATTTTGTACACAATATGTAATAATTTTGTGCATGAAACACAATTTGTGTTAATTGAACCATCACAAAGCAAAGGTGTCACTGTTAACAACCCAAGTGGATAAGTTTGGATTTTGAATGATTTTGCAATTCTGGCTAAGAGATGCCCATACCATGCTCCACAGAACTATCTGTCAATTCAACAAACACTAAAGAACTACACTGAGCAAAAGCATTGAAAAAGCTGCAGAGAAGGAAAAGAGTCCCAAAGCAATCATAATCAGTTCTCAAGTAGCAACATAATTCCTTAGACTCTTGTGTATCAAACTTTCAAACATTAAACAAAATCGCCAATATAACCTGAATGCCATTGTAAGTAGCTTCATGGCAATTTCTTTTGTAAGCAGGGCACATGAGACCCTGCCCCAAACCACAGAAACATGCCTAAATCAGTGTCAGTCCAGACTCTTGGCACTGACTGACAAGTGTCCCCAAATGCTTCAGAGGGGGCTATCTTTTTCCTACCTTAAGATACCAAGGATCAAAACGGGCTTCTGTGTATAATACAGATAAAGTACGGCCCTGCTGTACTAGAAAAGCATGTAATAAGCTTAAAGATCAACAAAGACATTTCAAAAACAAATTCTTTATTTTTGTATTAGTTTCCAAAAAATAAAACCGAATCAGATACAAAAATTATTCAACATGGCAATATAGACTTTTTGCATACAGTCAGCCCTCCACATATGTGGGTTTCACACTTGCATATTTTATCATTTGTGGAATGATTAATATATTCTCTGTAGGCCTTCAACACAACTCCATGGTCAGCTTCCAGTGTAAGTTAACTGTATAGTTGCACTGGAGGACCTAGAGATTGCTACTAGATTTTCTCTCAAGTTAAAAAAAATGGTTTTCCCACTTTTGCAGATCTGCTGTGCCTGTAACCCAAACAAATGTGGAAAGCTGACCATATATATTCCTGAAACCACAATCCATAGAGCTTTTTCAGTATTAATAAGCTGCTTACATTCCAGTTTTCAACTGGCAGTGTCAGTGAAGTCAAAAGAGAAGTGGTGACATGAAGAAAAATACTGTGCTCTGAGCCAGTATTTGGGTCCCCTGCAGGAGGAAATACGGTGTTCTGTCATTGCGTTGCTTTGGTCTTCTTATTTTTGCTCTTCTTATCTTTCTTCTTTAAACCATCCATATTCGCTCTCAGTAAATTTGAATAAGCCTGCAAACAAAAAATAAGTCCTTTAAAGAAAAACCATGAAATTGATGGTAATTTGCAGCTAATCCATTTAAATGTTCTGAAAGTGAAATAAGTCAGATATAAACTTACCATCTGAAATTTGTTAACTTCCTTTGAACTCACCTACAAGAAAAAGGATTTGTGTTATTAAAAAATCACTGAGTATCAAGGCCAATCACAAAGTGGGTTACAGATTATTATATCCTAACAATTATCTTAACATATTACTTTAATATACTGGTCTTAACATGCGGCAAGGCCATACTAAATATCAAAAGGATGCAAAAAAACTGCTCTTTAAAGTACTTGGGGAAGGATTTAAGGCTTGGAAAATATACACTCTCAGAATAACTTACAAACAATTTCATTTGTGATCGTTACCATCTACTTTGCTACGTATAACTTTTTGGATGTCAATTATGTCAGAACGCAACTTCTCCACGATATACTACCTACCACTGTGCTTATCTTTTTCTTCCCATCTGTTGCTCTGAGAAGACATTTGTTGTCAACAGGCTCAAAACCCTCAATATGGCCTTTTCGTGGGATGGGTTTTGTCCGACCATCATCTACATTAAATCGATGAAGAGAATTTAGGACACACCAGTTGAGAAATAAGACATCTATTAACACTGTTTCATTTTTTTATTAAACTGGACTCAGATTACACAGCTATTCAAAAAATCAACAAGTACTCTATATGGATTCAATGAAAACAAATGAGCATAACCTCCTCCCCCATTCTAATTCTGCCTCTGATTTCTAGCTCAGAAGCAAAAAAATTGATCCTCATGTTGTTTTGTGTGCCTTCAAACCATTTTGGCAATCTTAATGCAAACCTATCACAGAGTATTCTTGGCAAGCTTTGTTCATAAGACATTTGCCAATGCCATCCTCTAAAGACAACAGCTGTGATAGGTGTGACTTGCTTTCTAAAAAGGTTTTTTTGTTGAAATAAAGAAGCATAGTAAACATATATTTAGTACTTCTAATTGCTTTTTATTATCATACTTACACTTTTTTAGTGTAATATAGACACTGCCTGTGGTTCTGCACTTCTGGAAGAGCCGTGTTAGCTCTGTCAAAAACTGTAATGAAGGAAATCATTTCCCATTAAAACATCCACAAAAGAGAACAAGTTTACATTTTTGTCTGGCTAGCAAACAACATTCCATTCTCAAAACTGATTTTAACAATATTGTCCTCTTACCATGGCAATGTTTGAAATCTGACCTCAGTTTATAGGCAACTAAACTGTAAATAAGATGTGTAGGGTCACTCTTTCATGACGGGTTTTAAGCCAAATGTCCTATTATTTCCAATTTTTGGAAATGCAAGATTAACACCTATTTAATATTTATTTACTGCATTTATACCCCGCACTTCTCAACCCCGCAAGGGACTCAAAGTGGCTTACACATATAGGCAACAATTAGAGGTCAACACACACAGTAAAAACATAAGCATTAAAACAATCAGTAAAACAGTGGTTCTCAACCTGTGGATCCCCAAATGTTTTGGCCTTCAACTCCCAGAAATCCTAACAGCTGGTAAACTGACTGGGATTTCTGGGAGTTGTAGGCCAAAACACCTGGGGACCCACAGGTTGAGAACCACTGCATTAAAACATATAACACCTTAAAACTGATTATTTAAAATTACATAATCCAGTATCGTAATCTGCAGCCATTCCAATTTGTCATTATACTATTTCACCTTTTCCTATTGCACTGACAGATTACTCATTGAATGCTTGATTGAACATCCACATGTTTAGCCTTTTCCTGAAGCTCAGGAGGGAGGGGGCTGATCTAATTTCGCTGGGAAGGGAGTTCCATAGCTGAGGGGCCACGACTGAGAAGGCCCTGTCTCTTCTCCCCATCGGGAGGTGGGATTGAGAGAAGATCAATCCCCAGAAGATCTTAATCTCCTTTGTAAGGTGCACCAAGTCCCTTCGGGGAGATGGAGGTGGGGTATAAAAATAAAGTTGTTGTTGTTGTTATTGACTCATAGAGGCAGATACGCTTGGACAAACAGCATTATTCTGCTATTAACAAAGCAGAATAAACTAGGCTCAGGTTTGGTTTCATAGTCTGCTTTGTTTATCAATATTAAACCTGCAGCGTATATCAAACGAAACACAAGCTAAAATATGTACAGGCAGTCCCCAAATTTCAAATATCTGACTTACAAATTACTCGTAGTTAAGAATTGGGGGGGGGGGGGGAGTCAACGGAAAGAAAGAAATCTACCCCTCTGAAGGGTAATTCACTCTTGAAAGAGTTATCATGGGGAAAAGGGGTCTCCACTGACACTTCATCAGCAATCCTTTCACCACAATTTAAAACAGAGGATTTTAACGTCAAGGTAAGTGATTTTAAGGTTTACGTATGTGTATAGTCTAGTCATGTCCCGGCATTGAATGTTTGACATTTATATGTTGTGCTTTGCCCTGAGTCCCATTTGGTGTGAGAAGGGTAGAATATAAGTGCTTTAAATAAACAAACAAACAAGCCCAATTTTTCAAAATCAAATTCCTACAGGGATCGAAAGAGAGGCGAAATTCTCCGAACTGGGACACAGAGAGCAAAACAAACACCACAGGGGTGTTAATCCTACCCTGTGCAATCCAGATTGATAGCTATATGTTCTGACTTATATACAAGTGTAACTTGAGAACAAACCTACAGAATCATAGAATCAATGAGTTGGAAGAGACCTCATGGGCCATCCAGTCCAACCCCCTGCCAAGAAGCAGGAATATTGCATTCAAATCACCCCTGACAGATGGCCATCCAGCCTCTGTTTAAAAGCTTCCAAAGAAGGAGCCTCCACCACACTCCGGGGCAGAGAGTCCCACTGCTGAACGGCTCTCACAGTCAGGAAGTTCTTCCTAATGTTCAGGTGGAATCTCCTCTCTTGTAGTTTGAAGCCATTGTTCCGCGTCCTAGTCTCCAAGGAAGCAGAAAACAAGCTTGCTCCCTCCTCCCTGTGGCTTCCTCTCAGATATTTATACATGGCTATCATATCCTCTCTCTGCCTTCTCTTCTTCAGGCTAAACACGCCCAGCTCCTTAAGCCGCTCCTCATAGGGCTTGTTCTCCAGAACCTATCTTGTTCACAACTTGGGAGCTGCCTGTATACCAAAGCCAATACAAAAGGGAGATTATGAAGGAGGTGTGGTTCATGAAGATGTGGATGGATGTACAAATATCAGTGTATAAAAAGCTGAGTTAAAGTTCCAGATAGGAGCCCCCAGTGGTGCAGTGGGTTAAACCACTAATCTTGTTGACCGAAAGGTCGCAGGTTTGAATCCGGGGAGCGGGGTGAGCTCCAGCTGTCAGCTCCAGCTCCTGCCAACCTAGCAGTTCGAAAACATGCAAATGTCAGTAGATCAACAGGTACCACTCTGGCGGGATGGTAACAGCATTCCATGCAGTCATGCCGGCCACACGACCTTGGAGGTGTTTATGGACAATGCCGGCTCTTCGGCTTAGAAATGGAGATGAGCATCACTCCACAGAGTTGGACACAACTAGACTTAAAATCAGGGGGAAACCAACCTAAAATTCCAGATATTTTAAGACTGGAACCGGCAGAATGTAGACAGGCCTAAGCATTACGTGGCCCAAAATGCCTGGCTTCGTTCATCAATGGAAGTCTCCTGACTCAAGAAAAAAAGCTGCTTCTTAAATCTGCGTGTAAGTCAACTTTAAATAAGCTCCACACATGAGGGTATGAAGCCTTCGGCCTGACCTGCTCGCTCTCTAGCAACACCATGGCTCCTGCCGTTGTCTCTCCGCTTCTGGCAAACGCACCGTCACAACTCCCAGAACGACCAGCCGACCGGAAGTGGAAAGGCCTGAGCGGCGGCCATAAAACTAATCGCTTGGTAGAGAGGCTGAAAAGTACGCGCCGTCCCTTCCATCTCTCTGTTGCCCCCTGGCGGGCGCCAGGAATACACTACATCTAATAACGTTCTGCAGCAGAAGCCACTGCATGTTGGGGAGGGAGCGTCCTTAGGAGCAGCTAAACTGTAGATTTAATACAGTTTGACACCATTTTAACTGCCATGGCTCAGTGCTATGCAATACTGGGAGCTGTAGTTTGATGAGGCACCAGACTCTTTGGCCGACCTAAAGGCCTTGTAAAACTGCAACTCCCATGATTCCATTGAATCGAACCATGATAAAACAGTGTCAAACTAGAGCACCTGATGAACCAACCTGGGCACAGCATTTTATTTGAGAACACAGAAATGCTGGACCACTCTCACAACCACCATGTCAGACTACACAGAGAAGCCATTGAAATCCACAAGAAGCATGTGGACAATGTCAACAGAAAGGAGGAAACCATGAAAATGAACAAAATCTGGCTACCAGTATTAAAAAAAACTCTAAAATTGCAACAGCACAACAACAGAGAGGAAACAAACAAGGACATCTAATTACCTCTCAACAAAAGTTTGCTCTAGGCACAGTCAGACCATTGTATGCTAATCAAGGTGGTCGGTTGAAACATTCACACCTAGCTCCAGCAAACAAGAGTCCTTTGACTCACCCAAGTCATTCCACAGATATATAAACAACTTTTTCCTACTTCCAACAGACCTCACTACCTCTGAGGATGCTTGCCATAGATGCAGGCAAAACGTCCGGAGAGAATGCCTCTAGACCATGGCCATATAGCCCGAAAAAACCTACAACAACCCAGTGATTCCGGCCATGAAAGCCTTCGACAATACAGTGTCAAACTACATTAATTCTATGTATTGTCAAAGGTTTTCGTGGCCGGAATGACTGGGTTGTTGTAATTTTCTCGGGCTGTATGGCCATACTCCAGAAGCATTCTCTCCTGACGTTTCACCTGCATCTATGGCAGGTATCTTCAGAGGTTGTGAGGTATGTTGGAAACTAGGAAAATTGGGTTTATATATCTGTGGAAAGTCCAGGGTGGGAGAAAGAACTCTTGTCTGTTGGAGGCCGGTGTGAATGTTTCAATTGACCACCTTGATTAGCATTTGATGGCTTGACAGTTTCAAGGTCTGGCTTCTTACTGTCTGGGGAATCCTTATTGAGAGGTGATCTGCCGTCCCTGATTATTTATATTAATATTATATGTATTTTAATTCTACGGTGTAGATCAGGCCTGGGCAAACTTAGGCCCTGCAGGGGTTTTGGACTTCAACTCCCACCATTCCTAACAGCCTCAGGTTCCTTCCTTTTACCCCTCAGCCGCTTAAGTGGCTGAGGGGTAAAAGGAATGGGCCTGAGGCTGTTAGGAATGGTGGGTGTTGCAGTCCAAAACCCCTGCAGGGCTGAAGTTTGCCCAGGCCTGGTATAGATACATTGAAATAAGGTTCTTTGATATAACATCCAAAATGCACAACACATCCAAAAAAGTTATTGCTAAAACTTAATTAAATTATCACTTATATTACATGCCAGTAAGGTAATGCTCAAGATCCTGCAAGGAAGACTCCAGCAATACATGGAGAGAGAGTTGCCAGATGTACAAGCTGGGTTTAGAAAAGGCAGAGGAACGAGAGACCAAATGGCCAATATCCACTGGATAATGGAGAAAGGCAGGGAGTTTCAGAAAAACATCTATTTCTGTTTTATTGACTATTCTAAAGCCTTTGACTGTGTGGATCATAATACATTGTGGCAAGTTCTTGGTGGGATGGGCATACCAAATCACCTTATCTCTCTCCAGAGGAATCTGTATAAGGACCAAGTAGCAACGGTAAGAACTGACCATGGAACAACAGACTGGGAAAGGAGTACAGCAGGGTTGTATACTTTCACCCAACCTATTCAACTTGTATGCAGAACACATCATGTGATGTGCGGGGCTTGATAAATGCAAGGCTGGGGTGAAAATTGCTGGAAGAAACATTAACAACCTAATGACGATACCACTTTGATGGCTGGAAGCGAGGAGGAGCTGAGGAGCCTTCTAATCAAGGTGAAAGAAGAAAGTGCAAAAGCTGGGTTGCAGTTAAATATCAAAAAACCAAGATTATGGCAACAAGAATGATTGAACTGGAAAATAGAGGGAGAAAACATCGAGGCAGTGACAGACTTTGTATTTCTAGGTGCAAAGATTACTGCAGACGCAGACTGCATCCAGGAAATCAGGAGACGTTTACTTCTTGAGAGGAGAGCAATGACCAATCTCAATAAAATAGTGAAGAGTAGAGACATCACACTGGCAATGAAGATCCACATAGTCAAAGCAATGGTATTACCAGTAGTCACCTACAGATGTGAGACCATAAGGAAGGCTGAGAGAAGGAAGATAGATGCTTTTGAACTGTGGTGCTGGAGGAAAATTCTGAGAGTGGTTTAGACTGCGAGAAGATCCAACCAGTCCATACTTCAGGAAATAAAGTCCAACTTCTCATTGGAGGGAAGGATATTAGAGGCAAAGATGAAGTACTTTGGCCACATAATTAGAAGACGGGAAAGCTTGGAGAAGACAATGAACTGGGGAAAAAGGAAGAGGGCGACCAAGGGCAAGATGGATGGATGGTATCCTTGAAGTGACTGGCTTGACTCTGAAGGAGCTGGGGGTGGCCACAGCCGACAGGGAGCTCTGGCGTGGGCTGGTCCATGAAATCACGAAGAGTCAGAAGCGACTAAACAAATAAACAACAACAAATTAAATTATGTTTATTATAGAGACTTTCTGTTTTAGAAAAGCAAGTAAAAAAGTTAAAAGAGCATCAACTACTATAGAAGTAGTAACTCAGGCCAAGTTTTAACTGCTGAATACAACTGTCATTGGAGGTGTCTGTATTAAAAACCATGCAAAACATAGGCATTAAAATGCAAGAATTATTATTATTATTATTATTATTATTATTATTATTATTAGCTCGTTCTCTCGCCCTGGGCATTCCACAGATATATAAACCCCACTTGCCTAGTTTCCAACAGACCTCACAATCTCTGAGGATGCCTGCCATAGATGTGGGTGAAATGTCAGGAGAGAATGTTTCTGGAACATGGCCATACAGCTCTGAAAACTCACAGCAACCTATATATAGCACATTTTTAAAAAAACTTTTCCTTATAAAAGATTAACTTGATAAATTGTTGTTGTCTTCTCCTGTCTGCCTGGTGCTGTTTTTGCCATTTGTTGCCATTTGGAGCTCTTATTGTTCTATTGTTTTTAAATGTGAGCGGTGTTGAGGTCTGACATTTACATCTGAAATAAAGGCTCACAAAGTGTAGAAGAAAAAGAAATAGGAAAACACTGACAGACAGAAGAAGCAATGCATTTCTTGCAAAAGTTTTTTTCCCAATCAGGTGAGATAAACCAGACTGTATCTCTTTCTAACAGAATCTCTTGGACAGAATCCCACTTGCATTTTGACACTGCGACAATAGGAGGCACTGTGGCAGCACACAGAAACAAAGCATTATTAATTCTCTTGCTCTGGAAAAGCAAGTAAAAAAAAGAAGTTAAAAAGCATCAGCTGGCCTTCTGTAGTAACTCAGAGCAGCTTTTAAATACTTAATGCAACATTGTCATTTGGAGGTATCATGATAACCAGCCATCATGTTTGGTGGTGTCCAAGCAGGAACACAGAAAACAGAATGAGGCATGTATTTCAGATTAAATTTCATAGATCGCCATTCAAATCACCCTCTGACATTCATCATGCCATTAATAATGGCTTTGTAATGCAATGGTTCGCCAAACCAGCATAATTGTTAAAGAGACACTGCTAAAGTCACTACTGTGCTGTTCTTTTTGGAGAGGTGAGTAGGTTGAAGAGCCCACCATCCTAATTAGCATTAAAAATGTAATTGTATAGTTGAACAGTTGCTCATGTTGAGTGTCAACTCAAGTGAGACAAATCCTAGTCTTAATACTAAAAAAATGCAAAATACACACCAAATTTATTTATTATTTATTTACAGTATTTATATTTTGCCCTTCTCACCCAGCAGGGGATTCAGGGCGGATTACAGTGCCATATATATGGCAAACATTCAATGCCATAGATATGCAACATAGATAGACAAACATAGAGGCAATTTAAGCTTAATGAGGGTATACTTGAATTCCGGCCACCGGGAGAGCTGTCGCTTCACAGCGACTTGTGATATCTGGAACGGAATATGGACTACGATATTGGATATGATTCTATGATATGACGGAGCGGATTATTTAGTGTAATTTATAGTATTGTATATTATTGTTGTGTGGATTGCTTGGTTCTGTTTTTGTAAACTGTTTTTATATGCTGTACACCGCCGCGAGTCGCCCTAGGGCTGAGAGCGGCGGTCAATAAATGCACCAAATAATAATAATAATAATAATAATATCGAATCCTTGATGGGTACTTCCTCATTCCTTCACCCGCTGCTGAAGATTTTTATGGTGTCATAAATTAGTTAAATTAGCCTCCCCACATAAGCGGTACCTAAATTTCCTACTTGACAGATGCAACTGTCTTTCAGGCTGCAAAGGTCAACAGCAAGGTAGACAAATGGTCAGGAGCTTACTCCGACCCAGGCTAGCTTCAAACTCATGACCTTTTGGTCAGTGGTGATTTTAATGCAGCTGACTCTTAGCCAACTGCGCCACAGCCCGGTTCAAAGTGATACATTTATTATTAGGCCAACCAAAAGATACATAAGTAAAGGTAAAGGTTTTCCCTTCACATAAGTCTAGTTATTTCTGGCTCTAGTGGTGGTACACATCTCCATTTCTAAGCTGAAGAGCTGGAGTTGTCCATAGACACCTCCAAGGTCATGTGGCCGGCATGACTGCATGGAGCGCCATTACCTTCCCTCCAAAGTGGTACCTATTGATCTACTCACAGTTGCATGTTTTCGAAGTGCT